CAAATTGTGTCAAACTTAACGACTGACAATCCTGAGTGAACTCTCAAAAAATTAATATAGCGTGTCAGTATTAATGATAAACTCTTAGTATTGAAGTCATGAAACATAACTCTAGAAAAGAGCAGGCAGAGACCTGAGTGCAAAGACTCTTAGTAGAGTGGTAATGCAATTACTCACAAAGAGCTGTAAAAACTTGGTCAAAAAGTTTAGTTCTTGAAATAAAGGGCTCTTTCAAAGAGTGTTTAGACACATTGGTGGTAAAGAGTGGTAGGTCAAATTCAATTGAGAGCTAAGCCTAAGAGGATTCCACATTAAAAAAAAAAAGAAAAAGGTTAAAGTGTCATAATATACTGTTGATAGACTTATCGCTCATAAACTTAAACTTTTAAGTGAGTATGAATCCTAGACATATATACGAGGTTTTGAATCATTGGACTTCCAATCTCCCAAGAAGAGATTAGAGGATCTTTGATAAATTTTATTTGAACTAACTAAAATAAAGCATCTTCAATAGATTTTACTGGCTCCCGAGATCGTGAGTAAGCAAAATTTAACTCTAAACAGAAGAAAATAAAAGCATAGGGATAATACGGAAATTTTCTAAAAATATGTAAGTATGATATTGGGTTTATTCATTGAAGAGGTTTTTTAAATAAAAATTTAAATCAAAATTAGAAAATCTCTTACAAGGACCTTTTGGTATTATCACAATTCCAGTNAAAAACATTTATTTGGTTAGTATCATTAAAAACTAATATTGGCATATGAAATTAGAATATTCGAACAATGTAATAGATCTCCTCGAACAATGTAATAGTTTAAAAAAATATTAAATTTTCTTAATATGTTAAGTGATCTTTAAAAATAAGCTACAATATTATATAGGAGATCTCTTACTTAATTTTGAAAGTTGAAAGCGTTCAGCAAAATTATTTTTAATAATATTTAACATATGACAATTATACCTTAAAATATCTTCTCCAAAACTCTTAACCTATCTATCTTCATTGCCAAATATCTTCTTCAATGACAGATAAGTCTTCTTCAGCCGTCAACTTCCCTTGTTTTTTTTTTCTTTTTTTATTCCCTTATCAATTTCATTCCTATTAAACAGACATATACACCCACACACAATTACCCATGTAGACACATGAATTGTATAAGCACANTTACTTTTATTTTTTTATTCAATAACATGTGAATTTTTATTATTATTTTAATTAATAATTATAAATTATACGGTTAAATCAAATTTTAACACGATAATCTTTAGTACTCTATTTTTTAATTTTTTATGTGTATTAAAAAAATAAGAACTTTCAAAAGAAAAAAATAAAGCGATGAGAGTTCCGTTGAAAAAAAAAATCTCTCATTCTGATTTTTGAAGAATGGATAGTTTGATAGAAAAGATCGATCTCAATTTATCGAATCTTTTTATCCTATCATGCTCNAAATTAAAAATTAATTTATTTTTAAACCTCAGTTCTGTGTAGTTATCAAACAGTTTGATTTAATTTAATACTTAAATTTTAGTGGGTACCAAATAATCTACAAATTCAACTTTTAGACTTTAACTTTCAATTTTTAGCTCTCAGTTTTATCACGCACCACCTAAGTCTGCCTATTTATTCAGCATATCAAGCCGAGCATTTATAAATTTTTTTATAATTTACTCGTCCTAGATGTTTGCAGAGGTAAAAAAAGAAACCCTATGTGTTTATAAAACTTTACACAACACCAAATTAATAAAAAATAAAAAATAAAAAATAAAAAATAGAAATGTTTCTGAATGACCCATGTATTTTGGGTTTGTGCCAAAAAATAATCATATGTTTGTACCGTGTTAAAATATTTTTTGTTTATTAATATTTTAATTACATTATTTTAGTTTTTGAGGTATTGAATATATTTATGTGTGTTTTCTCAAGCAAACAACGTCTACATTGCTAACGATTTCAAATTATAAACTTAATACGTAATACTTAAATATAGATAAAAAAAAATAATTAGAATAACTCTTGACCAAATTTCTATCAAATTTTGGTCAAAAAACTACCAAAGTTACACAATTTTGGCCATGAACTATTGAAATTTTGATTAAGAGTTATCCATATTACGCATTTTTTNAAAAACATTTATTTGGTTAGTATCATTAAAAACTAATATTGGCATATGAAATTAGAAAATTCGAACAATGTAATAGATCTCCTCGAACAATGTAGTAGTTTAAAAAAATATTAAACTTTCTTAATATGTTAAGTGATCTTTAAAAATAAGCTATAATATTATATAGGAGATCTCTTATTTAATTTTAAAAGTTAAAAGCGTTCAGCAAAATTATTTTTAATAATATTTAACATATGACAATTATACCTTGAAATATCTTCTCCAAAACCCTTAACCTATCTATCTTCTTTGCCAAATGTCTTCTTCAATGACAGATAAGTCTTCTTCAGCCGTCAACTTCCCTTGTTTTTTTTTTTTTCTATTTTTATTCCCTTATCAATTTCATTCCTATTAAACAGACATATACACCCGCACACAATTACTCATGTAGACACATGAATTGTATAAGCACGCACACATTTTTAATGAAAATTAATTTAATTTAATTTTTTAATTTGATTATTTATTTTGGTATTTAATTTATTATTGTTCATTTATTGTTATTCAATTATTTATTAGTTATTATTCTTTTTTACCGGATGTTATTGTTCACTTATTGATTATTTATAAGTTATTATATTTTTTTTAATTAGATGTTATTATTTATTTATTGTGTATATTTTATAAATATTTTTAAATTAAAGATTAGAAGGGTAAAATTAAAAATTAATTTATTTTTAAACCTCAGTTCTGTGTAGTTATCAAACAGTTTGGTTTAATTTAATACTTAAATTTTAGTGGGTACCAAATAATCTACAAATTCAGCTTTTAGACTTTAACTTTCAATTTTTAGCTCTCAGTTTTATCATGCACCACCTAAGTCTGCCTATTTATTCAGCATATCAAGTCGACCATTTATAAAATTTTTTATAATTTACTCGTCCTAGATGTTTGCAGAGGTAAAAAAAGAAACCCTATGTGTTTATAAAACTTTACACAACACCAAATTAATAAAAAATAAAAAATAAAAAATAACAAATAGAAATGTTTCTGAATGACCCATGTATTTTGGGTTTGTGCCAAAAAATAATCATATGTTTGTACAGTGTTAAAATATTTTTTGTTTATTAATATTTTAATTACATTATTTTAGTTTTTGAGGTATTAAATATATTTATGTGTGTTTTCTCAAGCAAACAACGTCTACATTGCTAACGATTTCAGATTATAAACTTAATACGTAATACTTAAATATAGATAAAAAAATAATTAGAATAACTCTTGACCAAATTTCTATCAAATTTTGGTCAAAAAGCTACCAAAGTTACACAATTTTGGCCATGAACTATTGAAATTTTGATTAAGAGTTATCCATATTACGCATTTTTCTGTTAAGAGGTACTCAAATTTTTTTTTATCCATATGTAGGTATCACGTTACAAACATATGATCAAAAATTATCAACAATTTTAATGTTATATGTTTTAGGGACTATATAAAAATATATTCAATATATCAGAAATCAAAATAATACAATTAAAATATTAGAAACTAAAATAAAATAAACTCTATAGTTTAACGGATCTCCGGTACGATTAACCCTAAATCTTAACCCAATTATCAGTAACACCGTCAAACTCCCGTCTGCCACCGATGCCTCGGTCCATTGCCCCTCCGTGTACTAAACGCCGTCAACTTCGCTCCTCTGTAATCTCTAAGCCGCGTCAAAGCTGGTCCCACCGGTGGTTGTCCAGCCGAGCGCCAATTTCTTTTCTGGATGAATTTCACTTTGTACCCTAAAAGATTTAAAAATTCTTATTTTAAACTTTTTAAATTAAATTTCTTATATTTCATTCTTAATATATTAAAATTATTGTAATACGACCTTTCTATTAATTTTTTTTATTTATTTTATCAACTTCAATGGGATAGATTTTGACAGAATAAACAACAAAAGGTAACAAAAAGGCTATATTATAATATTTTTAACACATTAAAGATAAAAGATGAAAAAAATTATCTTTAAAAATACAAAATGAAAAAAATTAAAATTTTCGGGGTGCAAGGTGAGATTCCCCCTTCTTTTCTAAATCTACTTATCAATTTTCAGACGAAGCAAACATAAATGGATAATATAAAAAGCTCAGTACCAGAACATTCATGGCGTTCTGTTCTAACATTCACTCATTTTAAAAATACTCAGTGTCAAAATCAAACCGCAATCTCTCTTGATAACAGCTGTTTCAACCTGTGTGGGGGTGATTTGTGTTTTTAGTTCTTTGTGGGTCCATCCTTTTTGATCTCTCTGTAAAATGACAGCCTAATCAACAGCCTGGAAAGAGATTGTTGGAGTTGCACTAAAAAGCTCTGTTTGATGGGTTTTCTCTTTTCCATGGTGGCATTGGTGTAATCTCTTCTGTATTATTTCTCTCTGCTTCATACCCATTTCACTCTGCAGCTTATTACAAGCACTTGGTTCATTGGGTGAGGTAAGGGTTGCTGAAAAAGCTTTGATCTTCTTCCTTTTTTTGTTATCAAGTTCCCAAATTAATCAAATCATGGTCTATGTTTGAGCAAAGTTTTTTTTTTTACGTTTTATGATGAGTTCTTTGTATTTTCCTTACTACCGAAACTAATTGGTTGGACATTCTGTAGGGAGATCTGGGGATTGTAGAAATGCACGTTTTTGGAGTTGGTTTTTTAGGGAGTTTGGGTGTGTAATATTTGGGAAATTGAGGGCATGCTTGGTTATCAATTTGGATTTCCAAAGCTTGGTGCTTTCGAAAGACGCAAGTGTTTATAGCACTGGCTTTTGGTTATACCAGTTTATAATTTGCTGTGTTTGGAATTTGAGGCAGTGGGGGTGTTGAACAATTTCGTTTATTTGATTGCTAATGATGGCAAAGATGAAAGTTTCATCAATGAAGTTGGTGTTTTTTGTTCTAGCCGTTGTTCTGTTTGGGTTTATGGGTTATGAATCATATGCCTCATTTACCCCTGTTGATAACTACTTGGTTGCCTGTGGATCATCACAAAATGTCACCTTCCTTGGTCAGACCTATGTTCCTGATTCTTCAATTGCATTGAGAAGTCTGGGTAATTCCCTTTTTGCTACCTCCAATTCTAGTGTCCCATCTCCACTCTACCATTGCGCCAGAATTTTCTCTGCAACTGCATCTTATAAATTTGATATTCAGCAAGAAGGTCGTCATTGGGTTCGCCTCTATTTTTACCCTCTTCCAGACACAGGCCACAATTTGGCATCTGCATCAATGACTGTGGTCACTGAAAATTTTGTGCTCTTAAACAACTTCACTTTTAAGAGCTACAATGGTTCTTACCTCTTCAAAGAGTATGCAGTCAATGTTACTTCAGATTCCTTGACTCTTAGTTTCATTCCTTCCAACAATTCAATTGCGTTTATTAATGCAATTGAAGTTGTCTCTATCCCAGATGAGTTGATCCCCGATCAAGCACTTGCTTTATCCCCGTCCGCCCCTTTTAATGGCCTTTCCGGACTTGCCCTTGAAACTGTTTATCGGTTAAACATGGGCGGTCCATTAATCACTGCTCAAAATGATACCCTGGGAAGAACTTGGGAGAATGATGTAAAATATCTCCATGTGAACAGCTCTGCTAAGAAAGTTTCCGTTAACCCTGCCAACATAAAGTACCCGGTTGCTGTCACACCTGAAACGGCACCAAATTTGGTTTATGCCACTGCTGAAACCATGGGAGAAGCAAATGTGCCCAACGTGAACTTCAATATTACTTGGGTCTTCCTAGTTGATCCTAATTTTACATACTTTGTCAGGGTTCATTTCTGCGACATCGTGAGCAAATCTCTAAACAATCTTGTGTTCAACGTATATATTAATTCTGATATCGCTCTAGGGAGTCTGGATCTATCTTCTGTAGCTGGTAACTTGAATGTGCCTTACTACAAAGATTTTGTTTCCAACACACCGGCTGACTCAGATACTTTGACAGTTAGTGTTGGTCCAGACACGGATACTGTTGTTACCGCAGATGCAATTATGAATGGTTTGGAAATCATGAAGATTAGCAATGGGGCTAGAAGCTTGGATGGGCATATGTCAGTTGAGACAATTCTCGTGTTTCCATCAAAAAAGGCCAAGATAGGGATCATAGTTGGCGCTGTTGTGGGAGCTTTAGCTGCAATTGCATTTATAGGTGTTTGCTATTGCTGCTTGGTAGCCCGCAGGTCGAAGACTCCTCACCAAGGGCATTCATGGCTTCCTCTGCCCTTGTATGGTAACTCTCTGACTATGACAAAAATGTCCAACACTTCTCAGAAGAGCGGAACGGCAAGCTGCATCTCATTAACTTCCTCCAACCTTGGCCGATTCTTCACATTTCAAGAAATTATGGATGCAACTAAAAAATTTGATGAGAGCCTGCTACTCGGGGTAGGCGGTTTTGGTAAGGTTTACAAGGGAACAATGGAAGATGGTACAAATGTAGCTGTCAAAAGAGGAAACCCAAGGTCTGAACAAGGTCTTGCTGAATTTCGTACTGAGATTGAAATGTTATCCAAGCTCCGACACCGTCACCTCGTCTCTCTCATTGGTTATTGTGATGAGAGGTCAGAAATGATTTTGGTTTATGAATACATGGCAAATGGGCCGCTCAGGAGCCATCTTTACGGAACAGATCTACCATCTCTCCCGTGGAAGCAGCGTCTGGAAATTTGCATTGGGGCTTCTAGGGGCCTTCATTATCTCCACACTGGTGCAGCTCAAAGCATAATCCACCGAGATGTGAAGACAACAAACATACTCTTGGATGAGAACTTTGTGGCCAAAGTTGCTGATTTTGGCCTCTCTAAGGCAGGACCAGCTCTTGATCAGACCCATGTGAGTACAGCTGTTAAGGGAAGTTTCGGCTACCTCGATCCTGAATACTTTAGAAGGCAACAGCTCACAGAGAAATCAGATGTTTATTCATTTGGTGTTGTCCTGATGGAAGTTCTCTGCACAAGACCAGCTTTAAACCCTGTTCTTCCGAGAGAGCAAGTTAATATTGCAGAATGGGCAATGACTTGGCAAAAGAAGGGTATGTTGGATCAAATCATGGACCCAAATTTAACGGGGAAGGTGAATCCAGCTTCTCTCAAGAAGTTTGGGGAGACAGCAGAGAAATGCCTCGCTGAGCATGGGGTTGACAGACCTTCAATGGGTGATGTTCTGTGGAATCTAGAGTATGCTCTCCAGCTTGAGGAGACTTCATCGGCTCTCATGGACTCTGAAGATAACAGCACAAACCACATACCTGGTATTCCATTGACTCCACTTGAGCCATTCGATAACAGCGCAACAAGTATGATTGAAGGGGCAAACTCCGGCACAGATGATGATGCAGAAGATGCTGCCCCTAGTACTGTTTTCTCTCAGCTGGTAAATCCTCGTGGAAGATGAGAACAAAACTCCCATACTTTGATCTTGGCCAATAGATTTCTCCAACTAAAGGTTTTATTGTCATGGTTGCAAACATTTTGAATATCTTTTGAATATGGGAAGATGATTTCTTAGTTCGGGGTTTTGACCTCATTTTTTTTGTACTAATAAGATTTGGGATATAATATAGGTGATGGTGATGCTAATGAATCCATTAAAAGCACGTAAAATTACAGCAAGAAAATTGTATCATTTTTTTGATTTGAATATATGGGTATCAGTCTGTCCCTGTTATCTCATATACAATTCAGAAATTGTATTGGCGTTGTAATCATTCATTGACAGAATGGTATATAAATTTAAGCATGCCTTGTTGTCATCTTGTTGGATGACATACTTGTCATATTTGGTTTTTTTTTTCGGCCCTTCACTTTTAGAGATTTTTCTTGATTAACCTTCACTTTTAGAGATTACTGTTTTCATTTGGTTTTATTTGAAATATTGTGGAGCACTCTAGGCTATTTCTGGTTCGAATAACAGTTCCCCAAACTAAGTGCCGCCAAAATATCAAACGGATGATATATATACACACAAGTTTTTTGCCAAACCTTTGACATCATTCGAGTAACATAGCTACTTTAATGAATGCCCTCTCAAACTTGGTGGGCTGAGCTTTTGCATGAGAGAGAGAGACAGAGTGTGTGTGTGTTTATTTATTTTTTTTATCTACCAGGAGTTGACTAAGCATCTGAGTTTATTGTGTTAAAACTTCGTTTGGAATTAATGTCTAGAGCATTTGACAAAACAAAGGGGCATCTTCCATGCTTTTTTTGTTCCCTGTAAGAGAAAGATGCTCTTTTGTCAAGTAGCTTTCTCCCTCAGACTGAGTGTTGATTTCCTTTCGTAAGTCACCAAATTCAACATCCGAAGGTTTTGTTTCAATAGCCATGCTAAAGGAAGCAAAAACCCAAGCAAAAGCTCAAGTTGGGATTGAAGCCCTGTGGAGGGCTTTAGCCAAGAATTTATGGGTTATAATTCCAAGAGTTATACCAAATTTGGTGAAAGATGCAGAAATGATAGAAGGAGATGGTGGCCTTGGTACTGTTTTTCTCTTCAATTTTGGCTCGGGTAAGTTCAAGTATTTACTTTTTATTCATTGATTGAATTTGCCTATGGTGTCCTTAAATTCTTATTAAATGTGGACAACATAATTTGTGAATTTATTTGACATTTCCAATCATACAATCCGACTGATGATCCTGTTGACTTTGTGAAAAAATCACTTCTTATGCTGTTTTAATCACACTTGAGTTATATTTTGCCTTTCCACCGGATAAATTTTTATTGACGAGGTGATATTTAGCTTATGAAACTGCTGCATAAACAAATGGTAGGTGTATCTAATAGCATCAGCTACCAGAAGGAGAAAATTGTGGAACTTGATGAATCACTGCATCAAATTGGGCTGAAAGTGATAGAAGGTGGTCACCTGAATCTCGGCTTTGCTTCATACAAAACTACATTCCAACTGACTGCAATCGGAGAGTCAGAGACCCTAGTTGGTTTCAAGGTAGTTTATGAGACTGAAACAGAAGAAACTCATATCCCAGGGGAGACATCAAAGTCGGCACTTGCTTTCATCAACTGCCTCGAAAACTATCTATTAAACCAAGGTCTCTGAAATCTTGTTCGAGTTCCTTTCTGGATTTGGGATCTCAATGCTGTGAGCCAAGGTCATCTTTTCTGTATGAAATTACTAGACAATTTCAATTTTCATTATGTATTATGTGTCAAGAAATGAGCAGGTGTATGCCTCGAGTAGTTCTCTAGTCCTGCAAATGCTTGATTTTCATATTTTTTCGACTTTATATATTGAGATAGTTGGTATCAAGTTTTTCATTTATTGACCATTTGGTTAAAATACATATAGGAGAGAATCAGAAGTTCCTTTTATTCCTTGAGCAAGTGATAAGAGTTTATTGTGCTTATTTCTTGCAAACTATTCCATTCCCATGGGAGAACACACTGGCACAATCCAGCATGCCATACTTTATAGTCACTGGATCACTCTCTTGATCTGTAATTCTACTTGGAGAGAAGACACATGATTTGCATTCTGCTGAGGGAAGTGAAGTGGTTCTGTACTTGTCTTCACCTCCTACCACCGGCATAGCCACGCCTGGCTTTGCTGGATTCTCAAAATCCAGCTGGTAGGTGCGGTCGAGCACTCCTTCGACTTCCGGAGAGAGGCCAAAGAACCTAAACTGCACCTCCAAGTGAGCAAATCAATCATCAGAAGGTACTTGGTAGTTATGAATTCTGTCATCTTCTTTGGTCACAGGCACCACATTGACTGCTATCTCTGCAACATCTGTGATGGAAACAATGACACTGTTCTTGCTAAATATTCTCTCCACTTTCAGGTATTTTTCCGGGGAATTCCACACCAAAAGAGGGTCTTCAGGTAGGAACAAGTCATCACCATTGTAAGAAAATTTAAGATGATTAGTATTATCATCCCATGTTGCTGTCTCCACCAATGAATCGGGGATTGTAGCATGCGGCTCCATTGCTATTGCAGTTTGGTATTCGATCTGTGACAAACAAACTAGGATCAGTTCCTGATTCTTACTACTTATAAAACTTAAGGAAGAAAAAACCAACGCACATCATGCATGGAATCGGATCAAAGGTTCTTTCCATCGAAATCCCTCTTAACATTTATGTGTCAATGCAACTGAAACGTTTCTGAAATGTTTATGCAATATTTCACCAAATCGATCGAAAGTTTGATCCATGGGTGGATAGGGTATGATGTCTCACGTTTGCACTCGGGCTTGCATATGGGGAAATCACAGTTGACATAGCAGACTTTGGCTTTGGCTTTTGGGGTTATGGGTTTTGTGGTTGGTCACTCTTGTGGGCAGGTCATAGTCTTTAGAAAGCATCGGCTCTTGCTGTTGGTGCAGGTGAACTTTTGTGTTTGAACGTTTGGTGCAGTGGTATTTTTTGCATGGATTTGTATCACACCAGATACAAAAAAGAGCACAATGATCAATAAGCCATTCAAGCTTAAGATCTTCATTACTCTTCTTCTCGGTGGCAGAAGAATCAGAAGACACAAAAAAATTTGCCTCTACATAAAATTAATATATATGATGGTGTTTGTATAGAAATTGGGAAGTGGGCAATTCTTTTTCATCTTTCTCTCTGTCTTCTTTTCACACTCGGCCATTTCTACATCTACTTCTTTAATTGTTTTTCTTGTGCATGGAACTTTGCTGTAGTTTTCTGGTTTGTTTTTGGTCAATGCTTTGAATGCAGTAAGTTTGTTCATTAAGAAAAGCTGTTGACAATTTTCCTTCTTAAGGGGTGATGATCTGTAGTTGGGGTAGGATGAACGAGAAGGAACTCTATGGATACCTATATAGCACGAATACTTCGTTGTAAAGGTTGTTTTTATCAACTTTGCATTAACACACTGAATTTCAGTGCCCTTCTATCTTGAAGTTCCAAACTTGAGTTTTGTAAGAGATTGTGCACGTGATTTGCAAGTGATTATATACAATACAAGTTATATATAACTTGTCACAAGTCTAAAGGTCTGGTTGAGATGATTCTTGATTATTTTTAAAAAAATTATTGTCCATGTTTTGAAAGTATTCCAAACATTCATTTGCTTTCAAATTAGAAAGTGTTGCTTAAAGTAATCAGTAAATCTCAGTGGACTTTGTCCCATGTGGCTGACAATTTAAGTAGACCTTTCTTGCTTTTGAATGTCACGTAATAGGAAATTAGTTCAATATAGTTATTAGACTTGTGAGTTCTAATGTTTGACCAAATCCACCTTCAATTTCTGATGATATCTGAACATTTCAGTAGCTACTTGCAGTAACTTGGATATCAGTTTGAGCCCTTAATTCTTGCACAAGGTAAAAGGGTAGTCCAGTTTAAACTGTGAATTGAGTTTTGTCATCTCAAGCAAGTTGCTAGCAAGCCTAGCCGCGTAATAATATCAACTGTCAGGGGTTCGTATGAAATTTATCCTAAATTTTTTCATGTGATACAAGTTTCTTATCCGTGAAAATGAAAATTCATAAGAAAATTCTTTTTTTGTTCCTCTAATCCGGGTTTCCTATATATATAGTGGTGGAAGCATTTTACTAACGTTGTGCCATCCTAAAATTTATGCCTTCGAATTAGAATTAAAGGAAAATGTATGTCTTACAATAAAAAATGGTTCAAACTTAATTAAATTTTGGACTGTATTGTCGTGACTGTCGTCGTGTTGCAAAACACACACAAAGAACTCAACATTATTTGTTATAACTATATTGCTGGTCTTCAAAGTATAGAGTTTGTTTTATTTTGATCTCTAATATTTTAATTATATTATTTTAGTTTTTGAAGTATTTAATAGATTTCTATGTGGTCTCTCAAGTAGACAACATCCAGATTGTTAATAATTTTTTTTATCACAAAGTTGTCACGTGATATCTAAATATGAGACCAAATTTGGATAGTTCATGATCAAAATCATATAATTTGGGTAGTTTTTTGAGCAAAATTTAGGTAGAAATTTGGTCAAGTGTTATCGAAATTATTTTTTTCCCCTCATATTTAAGTATCACGTAATAAGTTTATAATACAAAAATTATTAACAATCTAAATGTTATCTGCTCGAGAAACCACATAAATATATATTCAATACATCAGCGATTAAAATAATATAATTAAAATATTAGGGATTAAAATGAGACAAACTCAATTTTGGGATATCCAATACAATTAACCCAAAAAAAAAAAAAAATTGTGATGACATGAAAGGAAAAGAGAGAAATTAACCAGATTACCCATAACATAACTGTGGATGCCACACTTGGTTTGCTTATTATTGTTTCAAGCTATATAGATTTTCCTGTTAATTTTCTTGTCTGATTAAAGAGTCTGTTAAACTGAGGAAATTGATTGTCTCAGAAGTTAAAAAGTAATCCGTCTCCAAGTAGGGATGAAACTGAGGGGTTTAATCGGAGTTAGGTTCGAACTCATCTAGAATTGAATCCGAATTCTAGCCATAACCCAATAAATAATATTTTGTTCGATTCGAGTGGAGTTCAAATTTTAGCCCAAATTGTATAATCTAGCAAGAAAACCCGAATTTCAATCCAAATTTATAGCTCCTGTTAAACCCGGATTCAAACCTTTAAACATTATTGATACTTGGGTTCAAGGCTTTGAGATGGGTTTGATTTAGGTTCGGATCAAACTCGTTTCAAGGGATTTATATCTTAGGCCGAGTCCCAATTAATCGTTCAACTTATCCGACCCGACTGAGTTATATCATATTTTTTGGTAGGAAAATGCTATTTATATATAATTTAAGGTGTGCGTGCAAGATCCTGCACAATATAAAAAACGAAAACAGATCTCTCCCTTGGTGAACTTCGAGTGAGCCCGTTGAGTGATCAGACACGCTGCTTGGGACAGCCTGCAAGGTACGGTGGCAACCTGAAAAGGCAATGGGAGATCCTGGGAGCGGAAGAGTGATCCAGTAAGGATAAGAGAGGTTCCTGGAACAAAGAAGAACAAGTTAGAAGGGAGCCGGAGTATTTTCCGGCGTATCCCCTCCGACGATCTAGTCAGTCTTTGAGAAAGAGAGAGGAAGGAGAAAACACTGAGAAAGTATTGTAGTAGAGAGTTCGTTGTTTCATACCCACTTTGCCTTTTGCAAGGAGTATTTATACCTTAAAAGCTCATGATTGCTGTCAGTGCGGTCAGTAGGTGATCATTAGGCACAGGTAGCGTGTACATTTGATTCTGATGAGGAATGTCTTCTCTAATTAACTGCTCGGGGTTCCGAGCAATCGATACTGGGTCGTCGGGATGCCGACGGTACAATGTGCTCCTCTCGGGGAGGATGCAATAAATGCTCTGTAATATGAGCATTTATTGCCTTTCATTTCCGAGCCTTACCGCATTGAATGCGGTCTCATCAAGGGAATGGTGCAATTAATTGTTGGCTTTCCCAAGTCGCGTGTCAGCAACGACATGCGGTTTGTCTGTCTCTGATGTGATATTATATGTCACGCGTCCAACCCCTATTGGCTGTGACCTCTGTATTCCAGTACGTTCTGACATTACTTGTGTAAGACGAGGTCATGATGAATAGCCTAGACTAGCCTAGGCTAATGACCTGCACGTCAATAGCTTATCCTAGAGTAGAGGAAGTGTCCAGAAGGGTATCTCTCGGCACCGAGGAAAGGCTCATCTCGAGGACCGAGGGAGGTTGCCGACCGAGGTACATATCTGACCGAGGACACGTGTCGGTTGTAAAACATACTGAATATATGATCCTATATGACGGTACCTCGGGGGCGAGGACATTCGTTCGCCGATGGTGCCTGATCTTAGCAACAGTGCTTTAGTAGAACCGAGGACACGTGTCTTCATCATAAGATTTTTCAGAAAAGTCTCATCATAAGGATCTAAAGATGTATAAATCATTGGATTGTTGTGGGTTTCATTTAATATTAGAATTTACAACTAATTCAATTGTTGCATTAAGACTATATCATTAAATCTTCAAATTAGGTCCCTATACCATAGAGTCTCATTAATCATACGGTAGTTATCTTCCTTATTTTCCTTAGTGATGGTGATAAAGAGATTGGGCAGACTAGGGCGTAATTGATGATAAATAAAAGTGTTAATTGTAAATTATACTCCGGAAGGTCGTTTGAATCTTAATTTGTATCCTTAAAAATCAAAAATTTTAATTTGAACCCTTAAAGATAAAAAATTGTATTAATGTGTATCCCCAAAGATAAAAAATCTCAATTTACACCATTAAAGATAGAAATTTGTATCAATGTACACTTAAAACTAACTGCTGTCAGTTTGCAACCTAAAATTAAATTAATAAATTATACCTAAATCTCCTTATGCTTATCACTTAATTATTTGAATCCCTTCATATTTAAAATATTACTCTTACATTTCATGACGTTTGTGCATGTGTAACACGTAACCCTTTTTCGTTAATATATGTTAATATAATAGTTAAAAAATATAATTTTATCCTAATAAAAAATTATAATTTCATATTACCCTTTATTTTGTAGGTCCGATATACTGTAAAGTTTAAAATCAAGTTTACCATTTGAATGTCCAATAAAATATATGTATTTATATAATATTTTTTTATTTACAATACAATATATCACTTAAACATAATTATTTAAATGCCCAATTGGGGGGACATTTTAGATTGAGGGTGCATATTGATACAAATTTCTATTTTTGAGGATTCAAATTGAGATTTTTTATTTTTAGGGGTCGGAGTACAATTTACAATTAACCCTAAATAAAAATAAATTTTTTTGGGTGAAAAAAATAATCAACACTTATTTTGGTGCTTTGACCATAATTTGAAATGATTTGAATTTATTAATAATCTGAAATAAGTTGGGATAACATCATCTATCGGATAATATTGTTATTTATCTAGAAATAATATGAACTCATTTTTATATTTTGAATTAAAAAAATATTTATTTTATTATATAGATTAAATCCATCATTGTATATACAAAATTTTTAATGTTAAATTTGAAAATATTTGAAATTGATATGATAAACTCCATAGAATTATTTCCTTTTGACTAAAAAGTAAAAAGACATTTACACCTCTTTTTATTCATTTCTTCCGCCCACAAACACTTACACACAACACCACCACACTCTCGCAGCCAATCACTTATTCTCATGTAAAGCAGATTACTCCTCATTTCTTGCAAACTATCCCATTCCCACGGGCCAACCCGCCGGTGCAATCCAGCGCGCCATACTCGACCGCGACCGGGCTCTTTTCTCCAGTGGTAGAGAACACACAGGTCTTGCAATCTGGCGAGAGAAGCGAAGTGGTCCTATACTTGTCTTCACCTCCCACCACCGGCATTGCCACCCCTGGCTTCGCCGGATTCTCAAAATCAGGCTGGTAAGTCCTGCCAAGAACACCGTCGACTGTTGGAGAGAGATCAAAAAACCTGAACTGAACCTCCAAATGAGCAAAAGTATCGTCAGATGGGATTTGGTAGTTGTGAATTCTATCATCTTCTTTAGTCACCGGCACCACATTCACAGACATCTCCGCCACATCGGGGATAGAAATCATGACGCTGTTCTTGCTTGATATTCTCTCGATTTTCATGCTCCTTTCTGGGGAGTTCCACACGGCGAGAGGGCCAACCGGCAAGTCCACCTCTTCACCGTTGTAAGAGAATTTGAGATGATCGACGTTGTTGTCCCATGTTGCCACCTTGGTGGCCGCTAGAGAGAACTTGTGGGATCCGAACATGATGCCCAGAGCTTGGATCCAAGTGAAGTCCCTGGTCCTACCAGCCGGCCTGTGGCCAATGAAGCGGCCATTGATCTGGATGTGACTGTCTGAGACTAAGCTGAAATGCTCATTGCTTCTGCCGTGGAAGTAGAAGACAATACCGTCTCCGCCGATGAACCGAGGATCGTAGCATGCTGATCCGAATCCATCGCAGTTTGGCTTGCGATCTATGTTTTTTAAAGCATTTTCAGAATCAATTTTTTTTGATTATGAAGAAATATCATTGCCATGCACATAGGAGAACTAGCAAAGTATGTTATAAATGGTGGTGTTAGTACATCATCTGTTCATCACACTCCAGAGCAAATTAATATTAAGTGTAATGGTCACACCGCGTTAATCAGTGTCTTCACATGTCTATGTTTTTTAGAGATTAATTCTGACCTCTATTTCTATTTTTTTTGGAATGTGTGTTACATTTTTCTTAGTCTTTTTTTTTTAATATTGAATTTTGAACTTATTTTTAAAAAAAATATTTAATGTAACGATGTTACTATGTCATGAATGTTATTTAGTGTCACCAACCCATTATTTAATCCTATTTTTGACTAATGATTTGTTCACATTTCATTCAATTAGTGATCTTCGGTTGAGTATAAAGAAAATGAAATGCCTTCAATGGCAAGCAGGATAAGGAAAGAAATGCAAGAAATCTTACGTTTGCACTGAGGTTGGCATAAGGGATGGTAGCAGTCGATATAGCAAACGTTAGCTTCGGGGTTTGTAGAATAGGCATCAGGACATTGGTCCGGGCAAGTCACAGTCCGTCCGATGCATCGGCCGACTTCACATTTGTAAGAATATGCAGCTTTCACTTGCACAACACCTGAAACAAAGGGTATCAGAGCAATCAAAATGCAAATGCTGCTCAACATCTTCATGGTTCTCTCTTCTAAACAATGAAGAAGAGGTCTGTGTGAGAAAGATTTAAGCAGGTTTGTGGAAAAACTCACTTCATTTTTTCTTATTTATAGGGTTTCAAAAGTGGGTTTTTTCCTCGATGTTTGAAACATCTTTCTGGGTTAAATAACATTTTAAAGGTTTTATGATTTCATGTAAAGTTTAACTCAGATTTGAAGTATGAACGTGGGCTTAGTTGGATATCATAAACACCTCGCGGGGTTCTTAATCTTGGTCAATTCATTGAGACGGATTGAAGTCATCCGAAAAGTTTGATATAAATTTTATTTTATTTGATTAAAATAAATAAAAATTAAATTAATTTTAATTGTTATTGTGTTTTTATAAATCAAAATTTTATCTTCCTAATTATTTTATTATATACTTTGTAGTATTTGGAGGTTTGTCTGTAGTATGAACATGGGCTAGTTGGCTCTTTCAGACACTTTGCGAGGTTTCTAATCTTGGTCAACCACTATTTTGTAGCTGATTGACGTCTCTTAAAGGAAAGGTAACAAACTCTCACAAGTCTCACCTTACTCTTCTTAGTTTAACCGTCGAAGATATTCGGAATAAATTATATATATTTTAATTAATTTTTTACATCAAAATTATAATATTTAATTATAAAAAAATATCAAAATGCAAATTCAAATTATCTGAATTTAGTGTTGGTTCTTATTAGTCATTGGTTGTCAGAATTTGTTAACGGCTAATGTTACTTGAACGTAATATATGTATTCAATTAGCGGATCTAATTTCAGTTTTTATTTTTTAAATTTTTGTTTCGCAGCCCAATTTTTCGTAAAAAAGCCCAATTAGAGTCTGAAAATTCCTCCCGCGACCAGCATCCGAGGCCATTCGGCTTTTCCTGTGTAGAACTCGAAGATGTTGGCCTTATCCTGCGCCGCCCCTGCTTCTCCTGCGCGCACACTCAGGCGTACCAAAGCCATTGTTGCAGTGCGCTCAAGCTCTCTAATCTCCATTACTTATCATCAACCTGATCAACCCTTTGTTCCAGAGGTATAACAAACCGTAGAAAAACTATCACAATTCCATCCGATTGCTGAGAATATGTGGAAAACGACGAGAAATTTAGTCATCTATCCTCAAATCTTCCCTATTTCGTAACAGTGAAGAACGTTTAAATTTGTTTTTTTATTGCTTAAACCCTTGAATAAAACCCTGGAATTTGCAGTATTGATTATTGAAAATGTATTTCCAAATAAATAATGAAAATCAAAGGTGATATGTTTTATGATTTTGGGGCACGGTTTTGGCTTAATTGTTGTCGAATGCAGGTTGAAAAAGCAGTGGATTCTTTGTACAAGGAGTTCCGAGCTGTGGATAATCTAGTGGCTCGCAACACCGCTCGTGTTCTCAGAGCTTACCAGAATGCTCGGGTTGGGCCTCATGTGAGTACATCATTCTTGGGATTGATATGCAGAATTTTCTTTGATCAATTGTGTATAATTTGTCTACGAATGACTTGCTGGTGATGGCGAGTGCTTATATTGTTCGGACATGTTGTATTATTTATGGTGTCTTATTCTTTGCAGCCTGCACATTCACATTTTGTTCGTACATATTGGCATGGGATGCCATAAGAATCTGTACCATATCTTGTAGCATCCTCTGGCTCTAAGAGGATCACCTCTTAGAACTTCACTGCACTTATAATTGGCCTTAAGGTTCTCATTCGTGGGGAACTGCTGCAATAATTATAATAATCCATAAACGCACGGTTGCATAGCAAAGTATTGATTATTTTAGGCTTGCTAGATAGCAGTTGTGGTCAAGAATATGTTTGACTTGTTTACGCTTGTCTGAAATCTTGCAGAAGCACGCAAACACGAGCAGGTAGTTAGTTTAACCATCGTATTCATGATATCATCATTACTCCCGTATTCATCAGTACCTTGTTTGAGTGAAGACTAATCCGCATAATTTCGTGAGTTTTGTGGTATTGGTTTCTGTGTTTTGGGAATGAATGCATTTATGGATGTATGGGCCTGTGTTGTGCTCTTCATTTGGTAGTTTGTAAGAAGTATTTTTGATTGGAGTAATGCTACATGGACTTAAAAGTAGACATGATAATCTGAACCATTGATTTCACTGTAAGTCNAACCCTTTGTTCCAGAGGTATAACAAACCGTAGAAAAACTATCACAATTCCATCCGATTGCTGAGAATATGTGGAAAACGACGAGAAATTTAGTCATCTATCCTCAAATCTTCCCTATTTCGTAACAGTGAAGAACGTTTAAATTTGTTTTTTTATTGCTTAAACCCTTGAATAAAACCCTGGAATTTGCAGTATTGATTATTGAAAATGTATTTCCAAATAAATAATGAAAATCAAAGGTGATATGTTTTATGATTTTGGGGCACGGTTTTGGCTTAATTGTTGTCGAATGCAGGTTGAAAAAGCAGTGGATTCTTTGTACAAGGAGTTCCGAGCTGTGGATAATCTAGTGGCTCGCAACACCGCTCGTGTTCTCAGAGCTTACCAGAATGCTCGGGTTGGGCCTCATGTGAGTACATCATTCTTGGGATTGATATGCAGAATTTTCTTTGATCAATTGTGTATAATTTGTCTACGAATGACTTGCTGGTGATGGCGAGTGCTTATATTGTTCGGACATGTTGTATTATTTATGGTGTCTTATTCTTTGCAGCCTGCACATTCACATTTTGTTCGTACATATTGGCATGGGATGCCATAAGAATCTGTACCATATCTTGTAGCATCCTCTGGCTCTAAGAGGATCACCTCTTAGAACTTCACTGCACTTATAATTGGCCTTAAGGTTCTCATTCGTGGGGAACTGCTGCAATAATTATAATAATCCATAAACGCACGGTTGCATAGCAAAGTATTGATTATTTTAGGCTTGCTAGATAGCAGTTGTGGTCAAGAATATGTTTGACTTGTTTACGCTTGTCTGAAATCTTGCAGAAGCACGCAAACACGAGCAGGTAGTTAGTTTAACCATCGTATTCATGATATCATCATTACTCCCGTATTCATCAGTACCTTGTTTGAGTGAAGACTAATCCGCATAATTTCGTGAGTTTTGTGGTATTGGTTTCTGTGTTTTGGGAATGAATGCATTTATGGATGTATGGGCCTGTGTTGTGCTCTTCATTTGGTAGTTTGTAAGAAGTATTTTTGATTGGAGTAATGCTACATGGACTTAAAAGTAGACATGATAATCTGAACCATTGATTTCACTGTAAGTCCCAGCATTTATTGGGACCCATTACCTATTCAATGGTTGAGATTATCAAGTCTAATTTTTAACTCTAGTTTTTAAGTCCATCTAGCATTACTCTTTTGATTGTATTTGATATTTTTGGTACTGATTGTTGCACTTATGTCTGCATCAGCACTTTGGTGGTTGCACAGGATATGGCCATGAAGAGGCTGGGGGACGTGAGGCCCTTGATCAAGCCTTTGCAGAAATTTTTGGTGCGGAATCTGCAATCATTCGTTCGCAGGTTTGTCTCGTTATTTTCTGTCTCTTTGGCTGGGTACAAACATACTTACTATCTTCACTCCTTCACTGTCAGTTTTTCTCTGGTACTCATGCTATCACTTGTGCCTTGTTTGCTTTTCTGAGGCCAGGGGATGAGGTATGCTATCATTTCTTATGTACAGGCACACTGTTCTCAAATTGGTTTATTGGTGGAACATGGTTTAGACTGATGAAATTATCAGCTTTTGGCAGTTGCTGGTGCTCCTTATGATACCTTGGAGGAAGTAATTGGTATCAGGGACTCTCATGGGTTGGGTTCCTTGAAGGATTTTGGAGTAGAGTATCGAGAAGTCCCAGTGAGTTGCTTTGTCTGTGCAAACAATATCTTAGTAGTTATATTGGATTCTCATAAGCACTATTTATTTTCAACTGTATTTTGTTCCAGCTTGCAGAGGATGGCGGGCTTGACTGGAATGCACTTGAGGTAGCTTTGAAGCCTCACACAAAATGTGCACTCATACAGAGATCATGTGGATATTCATGGCGGTGCAGTTTGAGCGTGTATGAGATTGGGAGGGCAATAAAGATGATCAAGGTGTGCCTTTTTAAATTGGCTGTGTGTGATGATGTTAAAACCTGTATTGTTTTCTAAATTGAGTCGGTGATGTTGGTTCATTTTGACAAGCGGATATAGGTGGATTTGAGAATGAGAGGCTACTTGTGCTCATTTTTTGCTTGGAATACCCAAGCTGTAGAATTTTGACTAAAGATCACTCAGTTTTCATCATATTAGTTCGGTGTCATTTCAATTGTTTTTGACACTATATTGATAGTTGTAGTCCATATATATGTGCTAAAGTTTTCTGTAGCATAAAGTTTCAGAAATTTCACTTTGTTAATGTCATAAAAAATGTGTTTATTCAGAGTCAGAATCCAAATTGCTTGGTCATGGTGGATAACTGCTACGGTGAATTTGTGGAACACATTGAACCTCCCATGGTGGTATGTAACATATTTGTTCTTTCATTTGTGTGGAAAAGTTTGACATTATTCTGTTGATGGTGGACAGGGTGCAGATCTAATTGCAGGTAGTTTAATTAAAAATCCTGGCGGAACCATTGCACCATGTGGTGGATATGTTGCCGGGAAGGAAAAATGGGTAAAAGCTGCAGCAGCTCGTCTCTCAGCCCCGGGACTCGGGGTTGATTGTGGCTCGACCCCTGGTGATATAATGCGAGCATTTTTCCAGGGTTTGTTCCTTTCACCTCAAATGGTTGGGGAAGCCATAAAGGTACTAGATTTTCTATGCTCTATATTGAATCCGTTTTCCTCAATTCTACTGGGCCATAATGGTTTCCTCTTTCTTTGTTACAAGGGAAGCTTTCTGATTGCTGAAATCATGGCAGCAAAAGGGTATAAAGTGCAGCCACTTCCTCGGGTTCCTCGTCATGATACAGTACAGGTTTGTGTATTGAACAGTATTTCAGTACTGATCCTAATTAGCTGAGTTTATTAATTTGGTGCCTTTCAGTTGGCTCATGACTCACAGGTCACATGGATAAGTTGTTCTTTAGATGCCCATCGGCCAATTATTCCGTCCATATTATATTGTTTCTGTTTATGCCTTGATGCTGTGGTGATACGGTCACATTAACTAGTGCTAGTTATTCGCACTTCGTCATTCAAACATTCGTATTTTGATGTGTCAAATGATCAGTTACTGGATCTTCAGTTTTGATTATCCTGTCATCAGCTGATATTAGAGAAATTTGTTCCGGAAAAAAACTCAATTGCCCCTGCTACTTTTCAGGCAGTACAACTTGGAAGCCGTGAGCGACTCCTTGCTTTCTGCGAGGCTGTCCAAAAAAGTTCCCCGGTTGGTTCTTTCACCAAGCCAGTTGCGGGTTCAACTCCAGGTTATGCATCAGAGGTTCGTCAACTTTTTCCTCTACTATACACCATCGCTTAAGAAACATCTGGGAGTACAATTGCTGCCTGACATCAATAGTGAGTTGCCAATGCTCTGAGGTGCAAATTTGCATTTCAGAACTGCCTCATAAATAGTTGGTGAAACAGAGTTCAATGCTTCGTTCTATAAACCATAGGCTCATCAAGTATTAGTTGTGCTGATGACATCTGTTAAGGAAGATGTGTGCATAATGTGATGGGAGTTTCTTCCTTTGTTTCTTCTTTCGTGTTTGTTTCATGTATTCTTCATAGAACCGAACTGAGAAAATGTGGCAACATATTGGCAGCGGTGAAAATATCTTTTTCATGTCTGGTGTTGCTGAAATCATTTTTGAGTCCTTTAGATACGTAGACTGGAAATGGTTTATTAGATCTTCAAGAAGGCACTGCTTTTAGCATGAGTAGGATGGAAAAGTTCTTCAGGATTCCTTTCTCTACATTTTCTTTTGCTTTTATACTAATGCTTATAACCTTTGGCTTGCCCCAACCCCCCAAAAAAACCAAAAAAAGAAAGAAATATTGTTATTTTTCATTTTATATGCTGCTAGCCTTATTGGTAATCAAAGTGTGCTGTCTATATCTAGAACTCAACTTTAAGTTTCGGATTTCAGTAACTGGTGCTCGCATGTTGTCTGAAGCCAATCTTGTTTTCGGACTGATCAGGTGATTTTTGCTGATGGAACATTTATTGATGGAAGTACAAGTGAGCTTTCATGTGATGGACCACTAAGGGAACCATTCTCTGTGTTCTGTCAGGTGGGCACTTGTTTTGTGTCTGATCTACAATTTGTACACATGAAACTTTTATGTAGTTGTTCTCCTTTTATATTTTGGCATAGTAAGCTACAAAAGATATATTAGGAAATAGTTTGTTTGATACCCTTTTTGGCTACTGAATTTCCTATTGCTTGGATTTTCCAATGCAGGGAGGTTCCCATTGGATTCAGTGGGGACTTGTTCTAGGGGAGGTCTTAAAATCTCTATAGAAGATTTTAATTTTTCTATAAAGAAAGATTTGCAATGGGATTCTTCTAACAAAATTGGTATTTTATGCTTCTCACTGGAGTTCCGTCTGACCATTTCAATTGAGACAAAAAACGAGAGCAATCCCGGATTATGTTGAGGCGGCAGCATCAATCTTCACTCGATGTTCATTTCAAGGTAACAGATTTGTTCTTACGCTGTAAGAGCCCTGGGTCCTGTGGTCTCTATATACTATGGAAAAATGATTAAGTATTGATACCAAGAAAAGTATGCTAACTTGGAATTGTATTCTTTAAATTGAGAATGTTGACCTGCAACTATATGAACAAGAGTAGGAATTTGTAGTTTCATTTGCAATACCCTTCATTTGATTTGAATCGGAGTGCACTTGTTACTGTTTTGATATTTCTGTGGCTAAGCTGCTTGGAGGACTGGCAGCTATACGAAGGTGTGTGGAACAGTGAAGTATTTCAGATCCCAAGCGAGCGGGCATGGCTCCTTATTTTTCTAGACTTCTTCCATTACACTTTTTGTCAATCCCATTCAATAATAAATCACATTTTGTATGTTAGAGGTCCTCGTGTAAACAGTGGGTCTCACTTGAATTTATAATATAACTAATTTATCATTGAGAGAAACTGAAAGAATGTATACACATAATGGGATCTCAATCCTAGTATAACCATCTTTGTCCTAACTCTTGCTCTTGTTCTTGTTCTTGTTCTTGATCTTGATTTTATGTTTAAACCCGTATGAGTAAAGTGTTTCATGTAGTACTCAGTAAATTCTTAATTCTGTAATTTTATTGATCCATTGAGATCTCCATTCATGTGCGATGGAAGGAGAATATAACCAACTGGTAGAGGGAAATCCGAATTCTTGTCCTTCAGGGTTGTTTTCTTGTTGCTGTATGAGGCTGCAATTTTGTCATGTCCTCCTCATGGTTTATTTGCCCTTTTTGTCATGTACTATGTACTAAGGTATTGTACCAAAAGTTACTATTTTTTTAATGTCAAGTTATATCTTTTAAAAGTAAAGTTACAAATATTTGGGATAATTTTATGATCGATCAAGAAATGCTTTGATGTATCATGAACACCTGATCAGTTATAACTTCAGTTTTAAAAAAATATAACCTGATCTTAAAAAATTGTAATTTTATTTTTTGAATTTGTAACTTTTATCACTTTATCTATTATAATTTTTACCTCAAAAATTATAATTTAATCTGAAAAAAATTATGAATTTCTCTACCATACCATGCCGGTTTTGGGACCTATTTTAAAGGAATCTCACCAAAAAAAAAAGAAAAAATCATTGTGCTAATTAGTTAAAAACAAATCAACCAATGGGGGAGACAACAGGCGGCAAAACCCCCCCACATTTCCTTTGCTTGTGGGCCATAAGCATGTGGATCGCTATCTCTTGATCTGATTCCCGAATGGCTGGCTCCACTGTGGGCCCTGTCTCACTACCGTCCGATAGTTGTAGTCCTCCAGATTGGCGCTTATAGCCAAGATCGTGGCCTTCGAAACGTTTCGGCCCATGCTGTAGCGGCTGTTCACTGGACCAGTTATTTTTTTCTTGACAGAAGAGTTTTTGGCTGACAAAGAAGACGATTCATAGTTTCACACTCTCTCTCTTCAACCATTTGTAGTACATTGATCGTCGATCGATCGGAGCTCAACAACTCTGTAAGTACTCTCTTTAACTTGGATCTCAGTGAACTCTAATTCCGAAGCACAGTCTTTAAATCATATAGTTGATTCTTCTTCTATCAATGTTTTGTTAACTTGATTTCATTTTCTCGATTTTCTATTTAGTATTTTTCATACGTTTATGTTCATGATCTTTTAAAGTATTTATGCTTGTACTCTGGCTATAAATGGATCAAGGATAAGCACGAGATTATGGAAAATCAGAAATTATGATCACTGACTTAGGATTAGAGCTGATATCTAATTATGCAAGTCTTGTTGTTGGACTTAATGCTAGGATGAAAGCAAGTGTCTGTCTGGTTTAAAAGAGAGAGGTAGGAAATGAGATTTGCAGTTTCCAGTGGTTTGGTATGTTAGTACTGAGCATCAAGTAACGTGACTGGCATTAACCTTTTAGGAACAATTTGGTGGTGGATTTAAGTCATAGAAATAAGCCAAGCACATTGATCCAGAACGAAATTTGTAGCATGACTAAGAATCTATGAATCAAACTTCCAATCTAGGAGATGAAGCAGAGGATCTAATTTAGTTACATTGTTTTTCGCTGTCTAATGTATGATACAAGTGGAGAGGTCACTGAACAGAGAGATTGTACTGAGATTGGTAAATTGTGTAACCTCACTCCAGTGAAAGGAATGTCTTGCAGCTAGTTGAGGGCTTGAGGGTGTTGCATGGACATTGATTATGATTAGCACGAGATGGATTACCAAAATCCTAGTGGTAGCTGTTATCAAACTTCTTCACGGACAAAACTAAAAAATGAAGGAACATGTTGTTGATAAGATGACATTATGTCGTGACACAATGGGATTAAGTTAGACAAGTCATGATTTCACTACAAAGGTAATGGTGATCCATGATTTCTTATGATCTGTGTACATAATACATGTTGACGCAGAAGTGTGTTTGTGGACATGGCAATTCCACAAAATCTAAATTCATCTTTACGTTTCTTGGGTTAGTGCGCATTTGCTTTGCACTTGTGTTACTTATTGTGATGCAATTTGTGGGTAAATTGCACACTAAATTACTAAAATGAGAAAACCAAGGTCGTAATGTTGATTTCCACCATAAGTAAAAGCCTAACATGCTTGCGTTCTTCATTTCTATGGCTGATGGTTTAACAATTCTGAAGCAAATTAAACGTCCTGCTGCAGGTCCTATATCAGATTTCTCCTCATTGACAGACAAATATCTCCAAAATGAATCGTGGACAACTCACTCTGATGGGATCTACTGTATGTATAATGCTTACAATGCATTTTACAGTACAGCTTCTCTCAGAACATCTTTTATCCTGGAAGAAGCCAAAGGAGCAAAAAGCCATTATAGTTATCATTCTCATGGCTCCCATATATGCTATTGACTCCTTTGTTGGTTTGGTCGATTTTCGTGGGAGCAAAACATTTTTCACATTCCTGGACTCCATTAAGGAATGTTACGAGGCCTTGGTTAGTCTTTTGTGCTTAGTCACACATCCTAACATATTACCTTCTCATACTTTTTTTGCAGGAGCAAGTTTAGGTTGAGTATTTGCACAAGTTTTTAATTCATTATTGCTAGAGTACTTCCTTTATGAAATGCAGGTGATGGCAAAGTTCTTGGCTTTGATGTATACTTACTTGAACATATCCATAAGCAAAAACATAGTGCCAGATGAAATTAAAGGAAGAGAGATTCACCATTCTTTCCCTATGACACTCTTCCAGGTAAAGTGTTGATGCTCTGAGTCTTTGATTCACGTATTTGTCATCTTGTCAAACAGGAAAAATACATTGAGGATATGAAAATAAAAAAGATTCACGTAAAATAATGATTACGTGGTATTGAAAAATGGTGTGATAGTCTTCTATGTTGCTTGTGGGACTATTTTTGTTGTGTGCTAGGAATGAAATAAATGAAAATGATATACGTCAATGGATGCATCATAACCATGTGCTGAATGTTGCATCTTTTTAATTTAAAAGCTGATGGATATTAACAGGAAATAATTACAGTTTTGGATGAGATTTTGACAATCATTCTGCAGGAATGAATATTAGAGTCCAGCATTAAAAAGTCAAAATTTGTTGTTTGCCAAGTGATAATGGTTTTCTCCTTTGGTATATGCATCACATTGGAACCAAAGGTTTCGTGTTATTAATTGTATTATTAAGGAGTTCATTCAGTCAATAAGGATTACTCTTATGAGAGCCCGCATTTGTCAAACATATGGCCCCCACCTATAGTTCACTCTTTCTTATGAACATATTATTTTACACTTTGTTTTTGGATTTGATTATTATGAGAATTCGTTTAACAATAGTAATCTAGAAGAGTTTCGTAAATAACTGGATGCTTACTGGTCTTGTTTTCACACATATTTTGCTAGATGTTTGTTCTTGGTACTTGGTAGGCTTGGACTCTGACTTCGAGTCCAACTAGAATTGGGGGGGATTTTTTCCCTCCGACTATGACTCCAACCTTGTATAACTCCGCTGCCTTGTCGGAGGTGGAGCAGAGTGTCTGAGTTGGGCCAATTTTTGGTGAGATTCTCATGCTTTTTTTGTTTCACCTTTTGTTTGTATTTGGGCCTTTTTTTTTGGATGGGATTTGGAGCAGTTTTTATATTGTAGAAGCTTCCTTCACCAGTTTTTATATTGGACAATGAGTACCATTTAGGATTTTAAATGGATAAGTATATAATTTATATAAAGTTATTTATTAATAAAAGTTAGAGTTGGAATTTTTTTGGAAAAGATTTTAGACTCCGACTCCGTTAAATTTTGACTGCAACGGAGGCAGAGTCAAACCATAGCCGGAGACAATTAGATTTTCGAATTCTTGCACACCTCTAATTGTTAGTAGTGCTTTTTTTCTCTTGATGGTGCTGCCAATAACTCATCTAGTTAGATTAAGATACAGAATTGTACATCAATATTACTCCTCATTATGCATTTCCTGTCTATTGCATTTGTTCAAACTCAAAATTGATTGACATCAACCAACTGTTTTATTGTTCGGTTGGGCTAGAAGTTGGAAAGCTCTCTCTTATGGCAACTTGGATTGGGTATCTGTTTAAAATGCTAAGTATGAAGATTCTGTGATGATAGGATGGTGGTTTACTTTTGTTTTGCACAGATCTCCACAGAAACAATGAGTGCCTTAATGTCCATATTTTAATATCGTTCGTAACAACAAATGTATTTGAGACACTCTTTTTATCAATTGCAGCCTCATACCGTCCGTTTGAATCATAACACATTAAAGCTTCTCAAGTACTGGACATGGCAGTTTGTAGTGATCCGACCTGTGTGCTCCGTCTTGATGATAGCATTTCAACTTCTTGGAATATATCCCAGTTGGATTGACTGGACATTCACCATCATTTTGAACATTTCAGTTTCTCTGGCATTGTACTCCCTTGTGGTTTTCTACCACGTGTTCGCTAAAGAGTTGGCACCACATAACCCCCTTGCCAAGTTCTTATGCGTCAAGGGGATTGTCTTCTTTTGTTTCTGGCAGGTAAGCTTCTCATTCCACTCCTCCTAAAGTTGCAGAGTTAGTTCAATATAAAGCAAGAGTGCAGAATATGTTGCTTTTGTTTCAAATGGAATCATGTTTATAGTTGTCCTGGCTCCGATTTTAATCAAACTTCCCTTGAGAGAGAGAGAGAGAGAGAGAGAGAGAGAGTCAAACTTTTTGAGAAATTGATGCCTTAATCATTTTTGCAGGGAATTGTGCTTGATATTCTCGTGGCAATGGGGATAATCCGATCTCATCATTTCTGGCTTGATGTAGAGCATATTCAGGAAGGTCTTCAAAATGTTTTAGTGATTGTAGAGATGGTTTTCTTCTCGATCTTTCAGCAGTATGCATACAGTGCTGCACCATACCGCAATGATACTGGATCAAGCGTGGGAACCAAGAAGAAAGAGTGATTTGAAAACTCGAATGAAAATGGAGAAATACTAGCAAGGTAGAATCCAGTCCTAATCCTCGGTTCCTCGTTGTTGTTCCATGGTGTGTGCCTGTGCTAGTCTTTGTGGCAGCTGCCTGTTGTATGCTAGAAATGTTATAGCGACCTTATTGAACTTGATGCATGCATATCTATAATAATATACGGCTTCTTGAGTGGTATATCTAGAGGATGCCAAAAATGGCAACCGAGTATAAAAGAAAAACTGTAACCCTGAAGCATGGATTTGGGAAAAGTGAGCAATAAATAGTTTTGTTTTTGATTTGCAGAGCTAACGCTCGGGCGGATAAATATCCACTATTCCAGTCCCAGCCCAGGTTTGCCCACTCAACTACATCCACACATCCGCATTAGCACCATATTATTTGGACTTTCAATTTGGTCATTTATAGATTGGCTTAACATTCGACCATCTTCGCAAGAGTTCATGTACATCCAGTAACTATCTCCCACCATGAAAACATTATTGTCTGAAGAATGTACAGCCCAAGAAAAACACCATACACACGTAGAAATAACCACGAAACTAATGTGATCATTCACCAACTTTCTGAAAATAAATGAGAGACGGTGTCAAATCTTTATAAATGAGAGACTGGTAATAGAACAACATATCTACTCAAATTGCCAATTTTTATATTATGTCCAGTATATGGCCAAAAAGGTTAGATAGGTTCATCAATGATAGCTAAACTCACGAGACATGTATAGCATAATTAAATCCCCCGATTATGGGATTGATGAGGTCCTTGGATTAGGGCAAAAATTTGATATATGTTAAGTTTAATTAGCTTTGCTTGCCAGTCATTTAAAAAAGAAAAAGAAAAAGAAAAAGTACCTCTTCCTTCTTTTCTTTCTTGCCCCCAGTGATCAATTTGTAACCTCCAAAGAAGAGCAAACCCCACCCAGCCAGGGAGACGATAACAAACTGCAAAACATTAACAGTTGCACTGAAAACTGACAAGAAATACCAACTGTGTAGCGTCTGTAGATCTTTGAAGATATCAATACACATCTAGTATACAATAATCAAAGACGTAGGAAGTTGAATCATGAAAATTTAATGCTGACTTTTATATAATACAGATGGCAGTTTTGAGTAGCAAGATGCTCAAAAGATATTATATCCAACTTGAAACACATTGATATGTGATACTGGAGACCAATCACAACCATAGTGAAGCAACATGCCCGCGATGATTTTGGTCCCGAATACAATACCATTGTAAGAAATAGTAACTTTGAATTGCAACCTCACCAAACAAGTTTATTTAACAATAGGAATAGTATTTGTCTAAATTGGAAATCAACTTATGTTCGACAATGCTGCCAAGCCAATGTAAGAAATTCGCAGATATGAATGTGGTAGTCATGGGCACANCCTCTTCCTTCTTTTCTTTCTTGCCCCCAGTGATCAATTTGTAACCTCCAAAGAAGATCAAACCCCACCCAGCCAGGGAGACGATAACAAACTGCAAAACATTAACAGTTGCGCTGTAAACTGACAAGAAACACCAACGGTGTAGCGTCTATAGATCTTTGAAGATATCAATACACATCTAGTATACAATAATCAAAGACGTAGGAAGTTGAATCATGAAAATTTAATGCCGACTTTTATATAATACAGATGGCAGTTTTGAGTAGTAAGATGCTCAAAAGACATTATATCCAACTTGAAACACATTGATATGCGATACTGGAGACCAATCACAACCATAGTGAAGCAACATGCCTGCGATGATTGTGGTCCCGAATACAATACCATTGTAAGAAATAGTAACTTTGAATTGCAACCTCGCCAAACACGTTTATTTAACAATAGGAATAGTATTTGTCTAAATTGGAAATCAACTCATGTTCGACAATGCTGCTAAGCCAATGTAGGAAATTCGCAGATATGAATGTGGTAGTCATGGGCACTAGTAACAGAATCAAAGTTACAAGTATCACGCCATCATAAATTAGAGGATACCACTACAATACCCAAAAAAAAAAAAGGATGTATGATACTGAAAAGTTATTTTTCAATAAGATAGATGGACTCTAAATACCAAATCATGACCAAATGTTAAGGCGCATTAATGCAAAACATCACCCCAACATGAAATCAAGCATTGGCAAACGCAGACCAGCATACAGGCTATGAACACTATCTGAGTAGAATTTCAAAGGTAAAGACAACTCACATGCTCTTCTTTCCATTTAGACGGATGCATTGGGTCTTCCCAAAAGTTCACTTTCGGATGTCCATGAGGATCTGCAATACAAATAACATGAAAATTTCAGCAATCACCAAGGTGAAAAAAATAATAATCAAGAGTTGCTCTCGCACTTGGATATTATATACTCCACTACTATATACACTAAGTTTTGAACCATTTTGTAAATAGTTAAACGTTCTACACTCGCACTTAGTGAACTCAAAACTGCACTTAAACAATAACATCCATTAAGTTCAAACTCAAATCCATTCATTTTGTATCAATTTGTGTCAGATAATCACAATTTCACAATAGTTCGTGTCTGGTAATCAGATTGTGTTGAATTTTGTGAGGCTTAATAACAATTGAAGGGCTTACAAACAAGTGGGAACACAATCGCAACCAATTAAAAACATATTTAAAAAAAATTGGATTTTTTTGCTCAAATAAAATACCAAGCAGCCCATGGCTTGTGGAAAAAAAAACCTAAGGAGGAACTTTGAAAATAAGGTCCTGTTTCTCTTCCTTTGCTGAGATGAGGAGCAAAAGAGGAAAATAAAAATTTTATGAAGTTATGTTCTGACACATAAACCAATCTTCAAGGACTCAGTTATAGATAGGTATATTGAATCTACACATACATATGAGCTCTTACGCGAGATTTCTACATGATACTGAGTGTAAATGCTATCTGAAAAGTGAAGTATAGATAGAGAAGAGGAGAGAAAAAAAAAAAGGAAAAAATTATAGCACCGCCACCGGCGAGGCCGCGTCGCTGGATTAGGTAGGTGGCTTTGCTGGTTGTAGACGAAGATTTTTGGGAGGCGAGCGAGGTTCGCAGCTTGACGAGCCGCAGCTGTCCACGCCGCCATGGTTGTGCTCAGAACTCTCTGTGATTCTTCAGAGAGGGGTTTAGCGATTGAATGTACAGACTGGTGAGGTTACAGAAGCTACTGGAGTGGGCGAGGGAATTAGAAGAAAATAGGGGGGAGAGAGAGAGAGAGAGAATATCTATCCAAAAGTTTTTTATAATATTTAGGAGTATTTAATATTAAATAGTATTTAATTTCTATCCAAAAGTTTTTTATAATATTTAGGAGTGGTCAAGTTTCTACACTTTTTAAGGAAAACCACTTTGTAAAAATAAAATAAAATATTTTTAATAAAAAATTGATACTCAATTTTCTTAAAACGGAGCACATTGATACCTTTTAAATTAAGGGTGCAATCTAAAAATTTTAATCTTTTCGGATAAAAATTAAAAATGTGAATATTTTTTGGGGTACAAAGTATCATTAGCCCTAAAATGAATCCATTCTTATTTGGTCTGAAAAATAAAAATCTGCAATTAAACTGATTGATATAAAATCTGGGCAAGGACATGAATTAAACAACGACGTAATAGCACAGCCTGAGCTTCATTATGTTCAATTTTTGCCCAAATAACATTACGAAACACAATAGCATAGGCGAAAAATGTTTGTTCTTTTCTCCCATCCCTTCTTTCTTCTTATCATTTCTTTCTTTTATTTTCAAAGTTTCTCTGCCTTTATCTTCGTAGTGTATTATAGAGTTTTTCGCTTCCGCTTCGAAAAGTATATCATCAACAGAATGAAGATTTAAGAATTGACAGAAACTGGAGGTGAAAAGAATAGGGGGAGCAAGAGTTTTATACCAGATTACATATAGGTATAGACCATCAAAGTCCTATTTACAACTACTGCTTACTGAAGGCATTACCAAAACAAAAAAACCGCAACGAAAGTAACGTGAACTACATGTCTTATATGAGTATTACTACTTATAGTATCTTTGATAACTGAATTGATCATTTTACAGCCGGGAACGGATGAAAACCTTTTTCGCATTGGTTTTTGGAGGAGCTGATCCCTTTGTGGGTTCATTTGGTAAGTCCTTGGAAGGCTCCAACCCAGCGACACATTGAGTTGATGTCTTATTCTGTTGCTTTATTTTAATCATGTCTTCCTGCATTTTCTCCATCTTTGCTTGAATCTCTTCCATCACCAATGCAGGATCTTGTTTCCCACTGGATGGGTGTGAAGTGGGGTGATCCTTTAATCCTTCTTTCACTATCTTATAAACTTGTATCCCACCTGCAGATACTCAAAATTGGCAGGAAAAAAATCAGAACTAAAAGATGGAGAAAGGGAAATGCAAACTTCAAATGACAAAGAGAGAGAAGCTCTCTTTATCCCTATTGCTTAAAGCAGTGCAAATCATGAAAAGAGTTTAATGAAACTAATCACACACCAACACAAATGGCCAATGAGTTCTACATTCGAAAGGGGATTGAGGTGGAAAAAAATCTGGGTCGTGAACATTTGGCATGTGCCACCAATTGGTAAAATCAAAAATTGAGATGGGCATTGCAGCTTTCTTTCTCAGGAAAAAAAATCGCATAAGCTTGTTGATGTAAGGTAAAGGTTTTCAAGGACCACAAAGAAGGTGGCAAATCCAGCAGATGATCATAAACTAATCACCAACTATTCATGCCATAGTTCCAGCACATCCTGCCTCCAAAGAAGACACATTTTCTCGGAAATTTATTCCCCCTGCAACCTTAGGAAATATCCAGGACAACAACCGAGAAGCATGCAATAAACATTTTCATACACGTATTATGAATACTCCGAGATAATCAGTTGTTGTACACTTGTACCTCAAGTAATTCTTTCTGAAAATATATGAATGAAGAAATCCCTCTCAAAAGATTTCCCTCCACAAATTTATTTCCCAATGTTTCAAAAACTTCAAATCCTTTTTACATAGATTCTTAGTTAATGTCCTACATCCATCGTTATGTTACCAAAAGATGACCATAAACAAAGTAAATGTTCCACCGCAATGCATATTTTATCTGCATAACTCCATACCCGTACATAGGGTTAGCAATAGCCACACATTGCAACTACAAGTTCAGACTAACGTAGTTTTAACTAGAGTTATTTACAGGATGAAAATGGACAAGTGACAGTTTCCTGAGTAAAGCAACAGCTTCAAAGGTGGATTTTTTCCCTTCACACTGGACAAGAATAAAGGAAACAAAAGTATGCAACCTCAGAAAGCAGCTTCTTCAAGTGACAAATAAGAAATATAAAAGAAAGAAAGAAAAGGAAAAAAAAAAAGAACACAACCAAGCCATCGACATGGCAATCAAGAGAAAATTTGGATGATATTCGCACACAAATTCTCATAAAAAGCACTAACGCAAGGTAACTGTCTCTCAATCAAATGCTTAATTGCAACTTAGACCACTATAAACACGTATTAAGCTAACATTCCAATTACAACTGAAAATCAAAGCTCTACTTCCAATTCAACATATAATTCATGTAAAACTAAGATTCGAACTCCCGAAATCCAGAACTTATTTGCAAAGCGAAAACTGATTTTTCAAGCAAAAGAAAAGGGACAAAACAGATTAAAACAATGAATCGACCGTAATTGTCCAAACAGCTCATAAAAAATAAATCGTTTAAATCCACAATACTTTTGTAAGAAAGAGGGACTGACCGGTGACGCCTTTCAGAGACTCGTCAATGGCCGAATCGACGGCGAATCTACTGAGGTTTGTCAGAATTCTGCCGATCTTGTCGTGGCGGTCAGGTTCGGGGACGTACTCCTCCAATCTCTGAGCTGCGTTAAGACTAACGGCGTCGCCGATTTTGGTACCGGCCGTTGGGACAATCGAACTGTACGGACTTCGGCGAGCATTTTGACCGGACGTTACACCGGAAGCCTTTCGTTTTATTAGACTCAAGGCAGTGGATCGGAGCTCGTCCCAGATGCCCATTAGCATTCACAAAAATGCAAAATTGACTTTATGTCGAACCGGTCTTTGTTAATTTTTCCTATCCTTCACTTATATACCAGAATAAATATCATTGACCCCACCCATATAATGATCAAGGTTAATTATACGAAAGGTCCTCAAAGTATGAGATTTATTTTATTTTGATCTTTTATATTTTAATTACATTATTTTGATCCCTAAAATATTAAATATGTTTATATATGATCTTTTAAGCAGATAACGTTCAAATTGTTAATAATTTTTTATCATGAATTTGTCACATGATACTTAAATATAGATAAAAAAATAATTTGAATAGCTCTCGATTAAATTTTTACTTAATTTTTTATTAAATAGCTACCTACATTAATAGTTTTGATCATAAGCTATTTCAATTTTGGTCAAAAAATTATCTATATTACACATTTTTTTGTTAAAAGCTATCTAAATTTTGTTTAAGAGCTGTTAAAATTATTTTTTGTCTATATTTAAGTATTACGTGACAAGTTTATGATAAAAAATTAATAGCAATTTAGACGTTATCTGCTTGAGGGACCATATAAAAATATATTCAACATTTCAGAGACTAAAAATGATGCAATTAAAATATTGGAGATTAAAATAAGATAAATTTTATACTTTGAAGACCTCCAACGCAATTAACCTCTAAATATAAAAATACTCTTTAGTTACACGATATATATTAACATGCCCTTTTGATTTTTGACGGAAATTGGTTATGTATATATTTATTCTTTAATTGTATATTTATATTTTTACTACTACTAAGAATTATTTATATTAAGATACTTTTGATAGACCAATATATCTTTATTAACATAATTTTATGATGTTTTTATAAATTTCATGCAATTTTCATTACCTAAATTTGTTCACTTTACCCTTAGGAAAATATAAACAAAATTCTCTGTTGGGTAAAAATTTGAATATTTTACCAAACATAACTTCACTCATATAATAAAGAATTATACGAGTTTAATTAAATGTAGGTTAGACCTATTTTAGATAGTATATATCCGTTAATTATAATCTTTTGCTTCAAGAGAACACCCTTTGATTATAACAAGAAATTATCACATGTTACCATTTAAACTACAAGGGCAATTTATTTGTGATGGTGGCTGGACCTAGGTTAATTGCCTAAACTGCTCTACGTACTCGTTATCGGCATCAAGTTAATTCGTAGTTTGGGGAGATTAAATTATTATTATTATTTTATTTGGATAAGATCAACGAGTAGATGACTCATTGATCTTGAATGGGCAAAATAATCATTATGTTTGAAATAAGTAAATGATTATTTAAAATAATATGGGTTTAAGGACCACTTGATTTTGGAGGAGTCGTTACTACGTCTAATTTAACTAGACTGTCCACGTATCCGAAAGGGAATCAAGTCAGTCGTAATTCATGAAAAAATTTTATTTAGGAATGTGACTGTGCCTAAGGTAGATGCTGGACTGCCTATGTATCCACAAATGGAATCAAGTAGGACGTAGTTCAAATTTTAGGAATTTAATTGAATGTAATTTGGAATTTCGACTGTGTCTAGGGTAGTTGTTGGACTGCTTACGTATCAAAAAAAATAAAATCAAGTTGGACGTAGTTCAACATAAGAAATTAAAATTTATTCGAAATTAATTTAGACTTGCGACTGTGTCTAATTTAACTAGACTACCTACGTATCCTAAAGGGAATCAAGGCGAACGTAGTTAGAGTTTTAGGGATTTAATTAAATGTGATTTGAAATTTCGATTGTGTCTAGGGTAGTTGTTGGATTGTCTACGTATCTAAAAAAATGGAATCAAGTTGGACGTAGTTGGACATAAGAAAATGGAATTTATTTGAAGTTAATTTGGATTGGCGACTGCGCCTAGTTTAACTAGACTGCCTATGTATTTGAAAGGGAATCAAGTTGAATGTAGTTTGAATTTTAATTAAAGGTGATGTAGAATTACGACTGTGCCCAGGGTAGTTGTTGGACTGCCTACGTATCCAAAAATAGAATCAAATCGGACGTGGTTCAAAAAATAATTTTAAATTTGAGTGAGATTTTAAATGAGTGAATGACTCATTTAATTTAAAATTTTATTTGAATTGAATTGAAATGGGTAAATGACCCATTATTCTTTGGGATGAACTTGAGTTATATTTAAAACAAATTTGACTTATGTGATTTTTAGAATTCACATAGGCCGTACCTTAAGGTGGAATTAAATTCCATGTATAATTTGTAATTTTATATGAGTTAGAAACTCAAGAATTTAATAAGAGTCTAATACTCTTTTCATAAAGAATCACTGTAGAGTTTAAAACTCCGAAACCTACTAAAGAATTTGAAATTCTTTGNTGAATCTCTTCCATCACCAATGCAGGATCTTGTTTCCCACTGGATGGGTGTGAAGTGGGGTGATCCTTTAATCCTTCTTTCACTATCTTATAAACTTGTATCCCACCTGCAGATACTCAAAATTGGCAGGAAAAAAATCAGAACTAAAAGATGGAGAAAGGGAAATGCAAACTTCAAATGACAAAGAGAGAGAAGCTCTCTTTATCCCTATTGCTTAAAGCAGTGCAAATCATGAAAAGAGTTTAATGAAACTAATCACACACCAACACAAATGGCCAATGAGTTCTACATTCGAAAGGGGTTTGAGGTGGAAAAAAATCTGGGTCGTGAACATTTGGCATGTGCCACCAATTGGTAAAATCAAAAATTGAGATGGGCATTGCAGCTTGNAATGAAACTAATCACACACCAACACAAATGGCCAATGAGTTCTACATTCGAAAGGGGATTGAGGTGGAAAAAAATCTGGGTCGTGAACATTTGGCATGTGCCACCAATTGGTAAAATAAAAAATTGAGATGGGCATTGCAGCTTTCTTTCTCAGGAAAAAAAATCGCATAAGCTTGTTGATGTAAGGTAAAGGTTTTCAAGGACCACAAAGAAGGTGGCAAATCCAGCAGATGATCATAAACTAATCACCAACTATTCATGCCATAGTTCCAGCACATCCTGCCTCCAAAGAAGACACATTTTCTCGGAAATTTATTCCCCCTGCAACCTTAGGAAATATCCAGGACAACAACCGAGAAGCATGCAATAAACATTTTCATACACGTATTATGAATACTCCGAGATAATCAGTTGTTGTACACTTGTACCTCAAGTAATTCTTTCTGAAAATATATGAATGAAGAAATCCCTCTCAAAAGATTTCCCTCCACAAATTTATTTCCCAATGTTTCAAAAACTTCAAATCCTTTTTACATAGATTCTTAGTTAATGTCCTACATCCATCGTTATGTTACCAAAAGATGACCATAAACAAAGTAAATGTTCCACCGCAATGCATATTTTATCTGCATAACTCCATACCCGTACATAGGGTTAGCAATAGCCACACATTGCAACTACAAGTTCAGACTAACGTAGTTTTAACTAGAGTTATTTACAGGATGAAAATGGACAAGTGACAGTTTCCTGAGTAAAGCAACAGCTTCAAAGGTGGATTTTTTCCCTTCACACTGGACAAGAATAAAGGAAACAAAAGTATGCAACCTCAGAAAGCAGCTTCTTCAAGTGACAAATAAGAAATATAAAAGAAAGAAAGAAAAGGAAAAAAAAAAAGAACACAACCAAGCCATCGACATGGCAATCAAGAGAAAATTTGGATGATATTCGCACACAAATTCTCATAAAAAGCACTAACGCAAGGTAACTGTCTCTCAATCAAATGCTTAATTGCAACTTAGACCACTATAAACACGTATTAAGCTAACATTCCAATTACAACTGAAAATCAAAGCTCTACTTCCAATTCAACATATAATTCATGTAAAACTATGATTCGAACTCCCGAAATCCAGAACTTATTTGCAAAGCGAAAACTGATTTTTCAAGCAAAAGAAAAGGGACAAAACAGATTAAAACAATGAATCGACCGTAATTGTCCAAACAGCTCATAAAAAATAAATCGTTTAAATCCACAATACTTTTGTAAGAAAGAGGGACTGACCGGTGACGCCTTTCAGAGACTCGTCAATGGCCGAATCGACGGCGAATCTACTGAGGTTTGTCAGAATTCTGCCGATCTTGTCGTGGCGGTCAGGTTCGGGGACGTACTCCTCCAATCTCTGAGCTGCGTTAAGACTAACGGCGTCGCCGATTTTGGTACCGGCCGTTGGGACAATCGAACTGTACGGACTTCGGCGAGCATTTTGACCGGACGTTACACCGGAAGCCTTTCGTTTTATTAGACTCAAGGCAGTGGATCGGAGCTCGTCCCAGATGCCCATTAGCATTCACAAAAATGCAAAATTGACTTTATGTCGAACCGGTCTTTGTTAATTTTTCCTATCCTTCACTTATATACCAGAATAAATATCATTGACCCCACCCATATAATGATCAAGGTTAATTATACGAAAGGTCCTCAAAGTATGAGATTTATTTTATTTTGATCTTTTATATTTTAATTACATTATTTTGATCCCTAAAATATTAAATATGTTTATATATGATCTTTTAAGCAGATAACGTTCAAATTGTTAATAATTTTTTATCATGAATTTGTCACATGATACTTAAATATAGATAAAAAAATAATTTGAATAGCTCTCGATTAAATTTTTACTTAATTTTTTATTAAATAGCTACCTACATTAATAGTTTTGATCATAAGCTATTTCAATTTTGGTCAAAAAATTATCTATATTACACATTTTTTTGTTAAAAGCTATCTAAATTTTGTTTAAGAGCTGTTAAAATTATTTTTTGTCTATATTTAAGTATTACGTGACAAGTTTATGATAAAAAATTAATAGCAATTTAGACGTTATCTGCTTGAGGGACCATATAAAAATATATTCAACATTTCAGAGACTAAAAATGATGCAATTAAAATATTGGAGATTAAAATAAGATAAATTTTATACTTTGAAGACCTCCAACGCAATTAACCTCTAAATATAAAAATACTCTTTAGTTACACGATATATATTAACATGCCCTTTTGATTTTTGACGGAAATTGGTTATGTATATATTTATTCTTTAATTGTATATTTATATTTTTACTACTACTAAGAATTATTTATATTAAGATACTTTTGATAGACCAATATATCTTTATTAACATAATTTTATGATGTTTTTATAAATTTCATGCAATTTTCATTACCTAAATTTGTTCACTTTACCCTTAGGAAAATATAAACAAAATTATCTGTTGGGTAAAAATTTGAATATTTTACCAAACATGACTTCACTCATATAATAAAGAATTATACGAGTTTAATTAAATGTAAGTTAGACCTATTTCAGATAGTATATATCCGTTAATTATAATCTTTTGTTTCAAGAAAACACCTTTTGATTATAACAAGAAATTATCACATGTTACCATTTAAACTACAAGGGCAATTTATTTGTGATGGTGACTGGACCTAGGTTAATTGCCTAAACTGCTCTACGTACTCGTTATCGGCATCAAGTTAATTCGTAGTTTGANTTCGAAAGGGGTTTGAGGTGGAAAAAAATCTGGGTCGTGAACATTTGGCATGTGCCACCAATTGGTAAAATCAAAAATTGAGATGGGCATTGCAGCTTGCTTTCTCAGGAAAAAAAATCGCATAAGCTTGTTGATGTAAGGTAAAGGTTTTCAAGGACCACAAAGAAGGTGGCAAATCCAGCAGATGATCATAAACTAATCACCAACTGTTCATGCCATAGTTCCAGCACATCCTGCCTCCAAATAAGACACATTTTCTTGGAAATTTATTCCCCCTGCAACCTTGGGAAATATCCAGGACAACAACCGAGAAGCATGCAATAAACATTTTCATACACGTATTATGAATACTCCGAGATAATCAGTTGTTGTACACTTGTACCTCAAGTAATTCTTTCTGAAAATATATGAATGAAGAAATCCCTCTCAAAAGATTTCCCTCCACAAATTTATTTCCCAATGTTTCAAAAACTTCAAATCCTTTTTACATAGATTCTTAGTTAATGTTCTACATCCATCGTTATGTTACCAAAAGATGACCATAAACAAAGTAAATGTTCCACCTNTATTTCCCAATGTTTCAAAAACTTCAAATCCTTTTTACATAGATTCTTAGTTAATGTCCTACATCCATCGTTATGTTACCAAAAGATGACCATAAACAAAGTAAATGTTCCACCGCAATGCATATTTTATCTGCATAACTCCATACCCGTACATAGGGTTAGCAATAGCCACACATTGCAACTACAAGTTCAGACTAACGTAGTTTTAACTAGAGTTATTTACAGGATGAAAATGGACAAGTGACAGTTTCCTGAGTAAAGCAACAGCTTCAAAGGTGGATTTTTTCCCTTCACACTGGACAAGAATAAAGGAAACAAAAGTATGCAACCTCAGAAAGCAGCTTCTTCAAGTGACAAATAAGAAATATAAAAGAAAGAAAGAAAAGGAAAAAAAAAAAGAACACAACCAAGCCATCGACATGGCAATCAAGAGAAAATTTGGATGATATTCGCACACAAATTCTCATAAAAAGCACTAACGCAAGGTAACTGTCTCTCAATCAAATGCTTAATTGCAACTTAGACCACTATAAACACGTATTAAGCTAACATTCCAATTACAACTGAAAATCAAAGCTCTACTTCCAATTCAACATATAATTCATGTAAAACTAAGATTCGAACTCCCGAAATCCAGAACTTATTTGCAAAGCGAAAACTGATTTTTCAAGCAAAAGAAAAGGGACAAAACAGATTAAAACAATGAATCGACCGTAATTGTCCAAACAGCTCATAAAAAATAAATCGTTTAAATCCACAATACTTTTGTAAGAAAGAGGGACTGACCGGTGACGCCTTTCAGAGACTCGTCAATGGCCGAATCGACGGCGAATCTACTGAGGTTTGTCAGAATTCTGCCGATCTTGTCGTGGCGGTCAGGTTCGGGGACGTACTCCTCCAATCTCTGAGCTGCGTTAAGACTAACGGCGTCGCCGATTTTGGTACCGGCCGTTGGGACAATCGAACTGTACGGACTTCGGCGAGCATTTTGACCGGACGTTACACCGGAAGCCTTTCGTTTTATTAGACTCAAGGCAGTGGATCGGAGCTCGTCCCAGATGCCCATTAGCATTCACAAAAATGCAAAATTGACTTTATGTCGAACCGGTCTTTGTTAATTTTTCCTATCCTTCACTTATATACCAGAATAAATATCATTGACCCCACCCATATAATGATCGAGGTTAATTATACGAAAGGTCCTCAAAGTATGAGATTTATTTTATTTTGATTTTTTATATTTTAATTACATTATTTTGATCCCTAGAATATTAAATATGTTTATATATGATCTTTTAAGCAGATAACGTTCAAATTGCTAATGATTTTTTACCATAAATTTGTCACATGATACTTAAATATAGATAAAAAAATAATTTGAATAGCTCTCGATTAAATTTTTACTTAATTTTTTATTAAATAGCTACCTACATTAATAGTTTTGATCATAAGCTATTTCAATTTTGGTCAAAAAATTATCTATATTACACATTTTTTTGTTAAAAGCTATCTAAATTTTGTTTAAGAGCTGTTAAAATTATTTTTTGTCTATATTTAAGTATTACGTGACAAGTTTATGATAAAAAATTAATAGCAATTTAGACGTTATCTGCTTGAGGGACCATATAAAAATATATTCAACATTTCAGAGACTAAAAATGATGCAATTAAAATATTGGAGATTAAAATAAGATAAATTTTATACTTTGAAGACCTCCAACGCAATTAACCTCTAAATATAAAAATACTCTTTAGTTACACGATATATATTAACATGCCCTTTTGATTTTTGACGGAAATTGGTTATGTATATATTTATTCTTTAATTGTATATTTATATTTTTACTACTACTAAGAATTATTTATATTAAGATACTTTTGATAGACCAATATATCTTTATTAACATAATTTTATGATGTTTTTATAAATTTCATGCAATTTTCATTACCTAAATTTGTTCACTTTACCCTTAGGAAAATATAAACAAAATTCTCTGTTGGGTAAAAATTTGAATATTTTACCAAACATAACTTCACTCATATAATAAAGAATTATACGAGTTTAATTAAATGTAGGTTAGACCTATTTTAGATAGTATATATCCGTTAATTATAATCTTTTGCTTCAAGAGAACACCCTTTGATTATAACAAGAAATTATCACATGTTACCATTTAAACTACAAGGGCAATTTATTTGTGATGGTGGCTGGACCTAGGTTAATTGCCTAAACTGCTCTACGTACTCGTTATCGGCATCAAGTTAATTCGTAGTTTGGGGAGATTAAATTATTATTATTATTTTATTTGGATAAGATCAACGAGTAGATGACTCATTGATCTTGAATGGGCAAAATAATCATTATGTTTGAAATAAGTAAATGATTATTTAAAATAATATGGGTTTAAGGACCACTTGATTTTGGAGGAGTCGTTACTACGTCTAATTTAACTAGACTGTCCACGTATCCGAAAGGGAATCAAGTCAGTCGTAATTCATGAAAAAATTTTATTTAGGAATGTGATTGTGCCTAAGGTAGATGCTGGACTGCCTATGTATCCACAAATGGAATCAAGTAGGACGTAGTTCAAATTTTAGGAATTTAATTGAATGTAATTTGGAATTTCGACTGTGTCTAGGGTAGTTGTTGGACTGCTTACGTATCAAAAAAAATAGAATCAAGTTGGACGTAGTTCAACATAAGAAATTAAAATTTATTCGAAATTAATTTAGACTTGCGACTGTGTCTAATTTAACTAGACTACCTACGTATCCTAAAGGGAATCAAGGCGAACGTAGTTAGAGTTTTAGGGATTTAATTAAATGTGATTTGAAATTTCGATTGTGTCTAGGGTAGTTGTTGGATTGTCTACGTATCTAAAAAAATGGAATCAAGTTGGACGTAGTTGGACATAAGAAAATGGAATTTATTTGAAGTTAATTTGGATTGGCGACTGCGCCTAGTTTAACTAGACTGCCTATGTATTTGAAAGGGAATCAAGTTGAATGTAGTTTGAATTTTAATTAAAGGTGATTTAGAATTACGACTGTGCCCAGGGTAGTTGTTGGACTGCCTACGTATCCAAAAATAGAATCAAATCGGACGTGGTTCAAAAAATAATTTTAAATTTGAGTGAGATTTTAAATGAGTGAATGACTCATTTAATTTAAAATTTTATTTGAATTGAATTGAAATGGGTAAATGACTCATTATTCTTTGGGATGAACTTGAGTTATATTTAAAACAAATTTGACTTATGTGATTTTTAGAATTCACATAGGCCGTACCTTAAGGTGGAATTAAATTCCATGTATAATTTGTAATTTTATATGAGTTAGAAACTCAAGAATTTAATAAGAGTCTAATACTCTTTTCATAAAGAATCACTGTAGAGTTTAAAACTCCGAAACCTACTAAAGAATTTGAAATTCTTTGCTTTAATTTTTACACTATTTTATATATAGGAGTTTGAAACTCCAAAAATAGTGAAGGATTTAAATGGCTAAATTATTTTAGCATTTGCCGAAAAGGGTTAAAGACAATGTGTAGCCGTTAGTTATAATGTTTCCCCTTTTTTAATGATCTTCGAAAAACCAAACAAGCGTTTTCGAGTTGGTCTTTAAAAGACCATAAGTCGCTACAATTCTCTTTCTACATTTCTTGAATTAGAGTTGGTCTAATAAACCAATGGGGATGATATGGATTTAGAAACTCATTTTACTTATGGTTTGGAAAAGCTTTTTTTTAACCCATTTCTTTACTTGCCCAGTGAATCCGTAATGGAGTCGAAGACTCCAAAGAGTAGTTTAAAACTTTTTCTCTAGACCACTGATTCAATAAAGAAGTCATAGATTCCAAACCAAATATTGAAGAGTTAGAAACTCTTTTATTTGGTTTTAGAAAAACCAAGTGTTGATTAAAGAGTCTAAGACTCTTGAGAGAGAATTAAAGGAGAGTTTGAAACTCCATTCAAAGAAAACAGTTTCTGTTTGTGCTTTGAAGAACATATAACTCTTTTAAGATTTTGTACTGTGTCGACGTTTAGAAGTTAGAAATTCCTTTAATTATTAATTTAGGAGTTGGAAACTCCTTGAATTGTTGATGGAAAGGCTCCCACAGTTATTTCTCGTAGGAGTTACGCCATCTTGTTGTTTTACACAAACTCCAAAAAGACCAAAGCCTGCTGCCCCATGAAAAGTCTGTCGACAAAAGAGTCAAAGACTCATTGGTTTTTTTTAGAAAGAGTTGAAGGCCTCGAGTCTCTTGCCGATTCCACCGAAGAGTTTAAAACTCTTTTGATTTTTCGCCAGAATTTTGGGAGTTGGAAACTCACAATCTTTGAAGAGCCAAAGTCTCTTGTATAAAATTTATGTGCCCGACTTCAGAGGGAGTCAGTTGGTTCTTGAAACTTATGCATGTTGCGGCTGCTTATAAAAATTAGAAACTCCATTGATGCATGCAAGTTTTAAAAAACTGAAGGTTCTCATAGGAGTGCATAAGTTCACTTTGGTGATTTTAACATAGAGGAGTCGAAGACTCTGTAGCTCTATGATAGAGTCAAAGACTCTTGACGATTCAAAGAGGATAGAGGGCCTTTTACTAATCTCATTGAAGACTGTAGCATTGCGGAATTTTGCAAAGCCATAGGCTTTGTTCCCGCGGCTTCGAGCAAAGTGGAGTTAGAAACTCCTTTAAATTATTGATGTAAAGGCCCTTGTTGCGATCTCTCAAAGGAGTTGGAAACTCCACTATTATTTTTTTTAAAAGAATTCCGAAAAGATCAACGCTTTGCTGCCCTTTTTTTTTATATATATTTGATGAGATAATGGAGACCCAACAACAGGAGAAATTGGACGTGAGAAGGAGTTTGAAACTCCATTACAATGAAAGGCGCTATTTCGATATACCATCAGAACATGGCCTTCGACCAAAGAGGTTGAAATACTGCCATGAATTTTGGTGGGCCTCTAGATCTACTGCTTTGCTGCAATTATTTTTCTAGCTTCAAACCATTTGTGCGACAACTTTTTTTTTTATACTGTAGACGCCAATTGGCACCAGAGGGCCTCATCGAGCCAAATCAGAAAGCTTTGGAATTTTTTTTTTTTTTTTNAAAGACCATAAGTCGCTACAATTCTCTTTCTACATTTCTTGAATTAGAGTTGGTCTAATAAACCAATGGGGATGATATGGATTTAGAAACTCATTTTACTTATGGTTTGGAAAAGCTTTTTTTTAACCCATTTCTTTACTTGCCCAGTGAATCCGTAATGGAGTCGAAGACTCCAAAGAGTAGTTTAAAACTTTTTCTCTAGACCACTGATTCAATAAAGAAGTCATAGATTCCAAACCAAATATTGAAGAGTTAGAAACTCTTTTATTTGGTTTTAGAAAAACCAAGTGTTGATTAAAGAGTCTAAGACTCTTTAGAGAGAATTAAAGGAGAGTTTGAAACTCCATTCAAAGAAAACAGTTTCTGTTTGTGCTTTGAAGAGCATATAACTCTTTTAAGATTTTGTACTGTGTCGACGTTTAGAAGTTAGAAATTCCTTTAATTACTAATTTAGGAGTTGGAAACTCCTTGAATTGTTGATGGAAAGGCTCCCACAGTTATTTCTCGTAGGAGTTACGCCATCTTGTTGTTTTACACAAACTCCAAAAAGACCAAAGCCTGCTGCCCCATGAAAAGTCTGTCGACAAAAGAGTCAAAGACTCATTGGTTTTTTTTAGAAAGAGTTGAAGGCCTCGAGTCTCTTGCCGATTCCACCGAAGAGTTTAAAACTCTTTTGATTTTTCGCCAGAATTTTGGGAGTTGGAAACTCACAATCTTTGAAGAGCCAAAGTCTCTTGTATAAAATTTATGTGCCCGACTTCAGAGGGAGTCAGTTGGTTCTTGAAACTTATGCATGTTGCGGCTGCTTATAAAAATTAGAAACTCCATTGATGCATGCAAGTTTTAAAAAACTGAAGGTTCTCATAGGAGTGCATAAGTTCACTTTGGTGATTTTAACATAGAGGAGTCGAAGACTCTGTAGCTCTATGATAGAGTCAAAGACTCTTGACGATTCAAAGAGGATAGAGGGCCTTTTACTAATCTCATTGAAGACTGTAGCATTGCGGAATTTTGCAAAGCCATAGGCTTTGTTCCCGCGGCTTCGAGCAAAGTGGAGTTAGAAACTCCTTTAAATTATTGATGTAAAGGCCCTTGTTGCGATCTCTCAAAGGAGTTGGAAACTCCACTATTATTTTTTTTAAAAGAATTCCGAAAAGATCAACGCTTTGCTGCCCTTTTTTTTTATATATATTTGATGAGATAATGGAGACCCAACAACNTTTCTATGTAGTAATTAGTTATATCTATCGTATAGTTGCTTATACTATTTTATATTTGTATGAGCATAGGAGAGGGGGAGTTTTTACTACTGAAAATTGTAAGATTGATTGTGTTTTGAGCCTCTATTTGAGTGTTGGGACATTCTCACTTAAAGGTGAGCGAGTCTCTTCCTTGGCTAACTAGAAAAAATGCCGGGTGTAGTAACTCTAACAGAGGTTGCAGAAGGAAACATGCCAAGAATCTAGGCTAGTGAAATGACAAGTCTAATTGACCAATTTGCTCTAACTTGTACAAAAAAGATAACCCTTTTGATGTATAAAGCCAAACATTCAATCATGGCATAATAATTAGGCATTATATGTTCTATGCAGAACTTCTGACAATCCGAATTGTGGCTACATTGAAAACTTTCTAAGCTATATTGACCATACAAACCATGCAAAGTGAACACTGACTGACCCAACCTAGACCAGGTCCAGCTCAGAGTTGTAATTTACAAATGCAGACGAGACTCAGGTCAATGGTGCAATCTGACCCAGATCAAAAAAACATGCCAACAAAGACCAAATTCATCGACTTGAAAAATTCGGTTTACTCTCCTATAAATTATAAGTTTCACCTACACATGGGAAGCATGATACACATCTCAACATATTATACTCTTAAATAATAAGATTCTATGGCCACCGTAACCTTTTTCAGTGGAATAGGTAACTTAAATCGAACCATCAAATCTTTGTGTTTGTTTGTGTTAACCCTTTTTTATTTCATCCTTGATTGATTTTATATAAACTCACTTTTGAATATCATCAAACACAAATAGCTAATCAAATCTATTAACATTCTCTTGCAACTTGTACGATTCATCGTTAACAATTTGTCAAAACAAATCGAGGTAATTGCCTCCTGCAGTCACCAAATTTAATATATCCCATAAAAATTCTTCAAACACATATTTGTAACAGAGATTCTACTATTTCTTGCTATCCAAACAATCGCATTGATCGACCAAATAATTCGTGTCTTGGGTAAAAAAAAATATGTTAGATATTTATTTAACTCCTGAATTATACCATTTGTATTAACCAAGTCCGAACTATGTTTTGTATCAATTTAGTCTTTGAACTATAGCATTTTTGTCAATATGATTCTTTTGTCAAAATTCGTCTTTTAAGTTTGACGGAATTTTTTATATGCATGACACGTGACCCCTAAACAATACTCTAATTTTTGACTCACGTGATGAGTACATGAAAAATTCCCTCAAAATTAACCGCAAATTTGGACGGTAACAAGGACTAAATTAAAAAATGGTATAATAAGGAGCAAATATATAGTTAACTCAAAATACTAAATTGAAATAAAACAATAGAAGTCTATAATTTCTGTCAACAAGCGCTAATAACAGTGCAGTGGCCAACCATTTTTTTCCTTATTCTGTCAACAAAATGAATCTGAGAATTAATTTATTGATCTATTCAATCCCCACCCAACGAGTGAGTCTCGCGTCGGAGACTTTCCAACTATGACTCAAATTTTTATTCAAATTTAAGTTAATAGTTGAGTAAAAAGATTAATTAAATGAAAATAAATGAAAATAAAGATGACTATTAGATTGTTCCTTTAATTTGAGTTAAAAAAAGAGCCACTATCGTATAAGTTTGAATAAGATTAGAACAAATTTTTAAAATTTTTTTTGCTCATATTTATATTTAAGTTTAAATTTAAATCATGATTAAAAATACTCTTATTTCTATCCCCGAGTCCCCCACATTCTATTGAAACCTGTCGGCAATTAGCCTAACAAATTATATTCAAATAATATTACTAAAAAAGTAATAATGCAGCGTGTTTATTATACTCAACAACCGATTGAGAAAAATGTCTGTGGGTCACTCTGTGTGTGTGTGAGAGAGAGAGAGATGGAGAGGTATAGAGATGGAAACAGACCTGGGATCGAGTTGACGCCTTCCTTCACGGCATAATCGGCTGCGTTTTTAGCTAACTTAGTGACAAACAGGGCGATCTTAGCCCGGGCTTCATCATTGGGCATGTACTGATTCACCCTCTGGCGGCCGTTGACACTAAGATCGGGGGCGTTTCGTTTCAGTATATCGGTCGTTGAGTTGATGAAGTCCCAAATTCCCATCTCTCTCTCTCTCTCTCTCTCTCTCTGTGGAGTCAATCTGGAAGAGTAATAGTAAAAGCATGCAATAAAGAATGTAATATTGAACTCTAATCGAATGAGGAATAAATGCTAAAGGAATGACGTGATTGAATATATAAAAAATAATAAAATTATTATGTAATAGTTTTAAAGTATGGAAATTTATTAGAGTTAATTCTAAATGATTTTAATTAGTTTATATTTTATAAAATAATATAATTTATCTTCTTTTTTTAATTTCTGTCACTTATTTATATTAGACTTACTAATTTTTAGTTTATTGAGTTTAATGAATTCTTAAATATTAAATAAGATGGAAGTAAATGTAAATTATTATTTAATTTTTATCAATTGTAAAAAAAAAAAAAAAAAAATTTGGTAAAATATCCGCGCTCCACTATAGCCTAGCACGATTCTTTGGCACCGTCCTTGCCCCGATGCCTGCTAAACTTTGTCTCCTCCTACGTACCTTCAATTCGCCCTTCATTTTTATAGCTATCACCTCCGCTTAAAATTTATTCGACTTTTTTTGGTTCTCATGTTTAGTAAAATAATCATCCCCTACTTGAAGTCGTGATTCTCCTTACATGCTTGTCTCCACCGTTAGAATACATAGGTGGTGTTTGGATGAAAGGATTTGGAGGAATTATAGGTGGGATTAGATTAAAATAGTTAATGGACCCACTTATTCTTGGCTTGGTTGGACAAATTGAAATGAGCTCTTCGGTAGGGCTGTCAAAAAGCAAGAGAGTTGAGTTGTTTATAAAAGATAATGACCTCTTGTTTTTATTTTTAAAGCCTTTAAGTCTTATTTTTCAAACACAAAAGAGAGGAGTTGTAAAGCACTTGAAAGACAAAAACAAAATAATGTCTTTTGTTTTTGTCCCACATTGAAAAATGAGAGGAGATGGGGAGGGTGAGTTGCCTATAAAAGACAATAGCCTCTTGTTTTTTTTTTTTAAATCCTTCAAATCTTATTTTTATGAGATTTGATTTAAAATTCCTCTTTTTTGAGGTAAATGTAATTAGTAGTAAAAAAATTGAGTATTAAACGACTCGTGTTTGTGTTGAGATTTTTTACTTGTTTATTAAACGTGTCGTGTATAAGTTTATACGTTTTTTACCCGCCACCTGTTTAACCCGACACGATTGACACCCTACTCTTCGGGGGGATTCAATTCCTTGGACGTATGTTGCAGAAGATATAATCCATCTCACATAGGATTATCTAAACCCATGTGAATGGAGGGATTCAAAATCTAGTGAAGGGGATACATGGTAAAATGACATAAACACCCTTAAACAGTCTGAGTTGCAGGGCGTGTGGATCCGCCGAGATTATCTCGGCAATGCTCGTAGGAGAAATGCCCAATTCTTGGAAAACTTTGATTTTGGGCTTGATGGTTTGGTCGAGATTAGCAGAGAGAACCCTAGGCATTCTTCGGACAACAATTTCCAAATGGGTCTTCGACAAACCACTCCCTTTGAGATATGATAGTATAGAATCAGACTTTTTTGGATTCTTCACATAGTTTAATATAGGGGAGACTTTTGCGGCGGTTTTGAGGGAGAATTGATGTTTTATACACCAAGTAATCAGCGACAGTAATTGTAGAATTGGATACTTTCGGTGTCGACGAAGACAAAAATAGGAGAGATAAAGAGAAAGAGATATGGGGTTTGTGGAGATGTGAGCGGTTTTGGAGACAGAGTGAGACAAGACTAGGAGAAATGTATAGTCATTTTCTTCAGAAATTGTGGTTGTGTTTTATGTAATTACAAATTCGTAGAGATGAAATCTATTTGCCTGTCAGCTTTCGACGAAAGGGTTTGGGTCTTATTAAAAAAATACATTTATTATGTGGTGTTAGGTCTCATTATATCTTCAATTTTTAAGATTTTGAAAATTTTATATTCATCCATTTGTTTTCTTATAGATAAAATTTAAAAAAAAAATCAACATTTTTATTAAAGCAACATATTTTAAATTGACCTGATTTATGCTATTAATTCATGCAATAATATTAAAATACCCTAAAATTCATGAAAAATAAATTACATTTCGGTCATTAAAAAAATTTAATATGGTTTGGATTAATTTTATTATTTATTGAAAAAAAATAATTAAATTTTATTTTTAAACACACAACTTCGAATTTTCTAGAAATAAACAAATAACGACTTTGGCTTGAGTTATATCAATTTGTGTATTGTTTTTGTGTTGGAATTTATATTTTTTTTTTAGCTTGATGCATATAATTTTTGTGATTAAAAGTTTATTGTACAAATTAAATTAAATAAATGAACAAAATATTTATTGTAATATTTTATAAAAATGCGTAATTTATTGATTCATATTGTTTTTCATAAATAAGACAATACTAATGGATTGGACTTTTTTTCATTCCATTCTAAACATGGTATATGATTGGATAATATTTTTTTACACAAGGATAAAATGGTCATTGAATATATGTTTTATCTTCACATGTGAATGAGACCCACAAATCAAATGAAATCTATTCAAGGATGGGATAGAATTTGAATTCGAACTTTATAATCATCCAATCCGAATTACTTTGAACTGAGTTGAATTAGATTCGGATTCAAATTCAATCCGATCCGATTCTTCCATGATGATCCAAACACCAGATTTGGATCCCCACGAATGCCTTACCCACCCAAACCTATAAACAGGTGTTTGATTTGATGGGTAAATGTGGAATTGGGTTTAAATTTTCTGGGATCCACATATTCCAGGTTTAAATGGACAAAACTTGATGGTTTACACATTGGGTTGCAAAAACTCAGCCCATAGTAATTCAACAGTTTTGGGCAATTTAAAAGTTGGTACAATTTTTTTAAATTTATTTAGAAAAAAATATAACTCAAAAACTTTTTTAGATAAAATGCATATTTTTTTAAAATGTCATTATTACAATCGGTAAACAGTAAATATATGAAAACCAATTATCTTCCATCCATTTTTTTGGCTATTCCCACACCTCATGTCTCTTCTTTGCCCTTATCTACTTATCTTCTTCCTTCTCTTCTATTTTCTATTTTTTTTTAAAAAAAAAAATTGTCACAGCTATTTCCCTTTAAAAAAATCATAAATGATAATTAATTTATATTAGAATAATCAAGTATCATACTTTATAATTGATTTTAAATTAGTTTGGGATTGTTTATCATGTCCTACGGTCAAGTAATTGTGAATCATTTTCAACAACTTCTTCACCGGAAATTATAGGTGACATTTATTTTTGTTTTTTTGTCATTCATTAATTTTTTTTTTTCCACAATCTGTGTTGTTTAATTTTTTGATTAAAAATAGTTACGTAACTGTTTTAAATAACTATTTGTGATCACAAATTGCAAACTATTAATATTCAAAAATTAATTGTTGAAACTGTATTGACACAGTTACACCCATTAAAACATAGTTACACTCATTAAAACAAAGTTACACTCATTAAAAATACAGTTACACTCATTAAAACATAATTACACCTATTAAAACAAAATCAATTTTATTCCCCTTCATTCCAACATCGAACAAACATAAAACAAAATCGAACACAGAAATTTCCCAAAAAAAAAGACCGAATAAAAGAAGAAATATATTTATTATGTCTATACAAAAAAATAGTTACACCCATTAAAATCAAAAGTAGTTTTTTTTCCCTTTCATTCTAACAACGAACAAATATAAAACAAAATCGAACATAGTTATTTTCCAAAAAAAAAAGACCGAATAAAAAAAGAAATATACTTATTATGTCTATAAGAAAAAATAGTTACACCCATTAAAAACAAATGCAATTTTTTGTTCACCTTCATTGTAACAACGAACAAACATAAAACAAAATCGAACATATGAATTTCCCAAAAAACAATGACAAAATAAAAAAAGAAATATAATTATTAACAACTAATCTTTAAGCTGATGACGGTGATTAGTATTTGAAGTTCTTTTTTTCGAATAAATCCGCCGCCGGAGAAGTAAATCGCTGTTAAAAAAGACTTATATTGAAGAAGACTTATCAGTTGAACACGTTGAAGAAGACTTATCAGTTGAACACATACGTTTAATTCAAAAAAATAAAGATAACAAATATGTAAAGATTACATATTTGTTTCTTAAAATAACTGTTAATAGATGCATAAATCTCTCGCAAAATTGCTCATTCAAAATTCAAAAATTAAGAAGATAACAAATATGTAATCTTTAAATATTTGTTTTCTAAAATAACTGTCAATCATGACTGCATAAAATAAGGAATGGTGTTTAAGTAAAAAAGATTTGAATTCATTTGAATTTTGTACCTAAACATAAAATTTTTTATAAAAATTGTACTTAATAGAATAAATCATTTACTCATACACTTTTGCTCAAATAAGTATAAAAAATTGTACCTACACCTAAAAAATCCAACAGGTTTATTTAGGGATGGTGTTGAACGAAATGAAGGTGGGGGTGTAGTCTCTATCTCTGTATCTGTTTAAAAAAATTATTTTTATCCTCAGTCCACCCCTTTTAACGGGTATTATTTTTTTCTCCATCTCCGTCCATGGGTAAATTTATAATCTCCGCCCCCACCCCTATTCTAGTCCAAGCCAACATAATCCAAAATTTCAAATAAATTCAATATTCTAAATAATTCAACAACATTCTAAATAATCTAACATAATTATAAAATATCATAACATAATTAACAATTTGTTTACAACATAATCTAACATTATATAATTAAAACCTTATCTACAACATAATCCAACATAAAAATAGCCACAATTGCATCAATACTTACAATTAACAGCATGTAAAAATTTCACATAATATATTATGATACAAATAATTCACTTAAAAATCAATTTATTTATTTACTGTAAGGAATTATCAATTCAGCAATATTATTTTAAAAGAAATAAAGACTATTAACTCATACGTAAGAGAGCGGACAATTCCTTGGCCAAAATTTCCTGAAAGGCTATGTCTGAGAGAAAATATCAGGCCAGGTCCGTGGTGATGCACATTTTCCCAAACTAATAAGTAATCATTCC